ATTTCTGTTAGTAGATCTGCCAAAAATGCTTTAGTTATAACATTTTAATTGCTTTCCTCAGTATATACATATATTTTATATATAATTTCAAGATATATTTATATTTCAGCATATTTATATATTTTTATTGCTTTTTTCTAGGCTATACATATTTGATTCTCTGTGAGTTTGCACGTTTGCTTAAGCCTTGAAAGGAAAATCGTATCTCATCTTTGGTAAATTGAATATCCCCCAAAAAAAAGATCCCCTCTTATCCAGCGCCTGTGGCAAAGGCCTGGCAATGGCAAACAGAGTTATACAAACACACTGGCAAACTAACACATTAGGCGGCGCTTCCTTTTGCCAAAGTTGGTTGACTTCGTTTTTTTGGGACTGCCATTGCCGCTGTCGCTGCTTACTGCTTACTGCCTGCGCCATCAACAACAAGCAAATAAACTGACAGACACTCGTTTCCGTTTTCAAACAAAACAGACGCCATATTTAAAATTCCAAACGGGCACCCCGGCAACAACAAACAGCAATACAAGCAGGCAAACAAATGGAATAACAGAAAATTGCCGTTTGCTAAAAACTTTTGCTTTGCTTTTTGAAGTTATTTCCCCCCCCCCATCTCGCAGCCGCCATCCCGAATCCTGGAGCCTGGATACCCAGAGCCGCTGCTGCTGCCAAAAAAAACAAAGAATTCAATTTTAGTGGGGCCGTGCGTTGATGCGGACAGGTTCATTGAACGGGGATTCCCTCGAATGCGCATAAATTTGACGCTTCCCATGACTTGGACTAATTGTGGAATTATGCCAAAAGGAGATGAGATTCGGCGGGAATGCGAGTGCAAATGGGAATGCGTGTATATCCGGATGCTCGTAGAATTTTTGAGCGAAAATCAAGAAAATGCTAGCCGTCAGTATGCCATTACGGTTTGTTTTTGGCATTTATCATACTCGCAGCGACTCATGGGGGGCCTGAAACTTGCTGACCGGCGGCCGTGACTTCCGTGCACCAGAAATGAAAATGAAAGATTTATTCCAGATTCGCATGACGAGATAGTGTGTGTTGTGGCAACAGCCATGGCACAAAAGACACGTAGGCCAATAAAAATGCCATCGTCAACGGCCATGGCTCTGCAGCTGAAGTTGTGTATATTAAAATGATTTGTGTGGCCAAATTGCCGTTCGGACGGTGCACTAATTTCATGTGAAATGCATGGGAAAAACAATCAATAAAAGATAAGGAAAAGCTTTTGTGTGAAACCGCGATTAAGTTTCATAAGAAAATGCTCTCGAAAATTGTGATTTTTAGGGAGTATAACTTAATTTTATAGAAGAAATAGTACATCACATTTGTATAATTTGTAGAATTTAATTCATCCTACAACTTATTCAATTAAAATGTGTTGAACTTAGTATTTTATATGAAACTTTAATTTAAAACTTTGATGTTATAAAAGTTTAATAAACAAAAAGGCAGCGTTTTCACTCGGATTTCAGCTGCAAGCTAAAGCTCCTATACCGCATTCCCTTTTTTTTCAGAAAACCCTTTCACCAGAGCATTAGAAAAATCTATAAAATCGCTGGGGCCCGTCAGGACGCCACCCATACATGCCAATAAATATTTTATCAAACGTACGTGCTGCTATTAGTCTCCTCCCCCCCGGCAACTCCATCTCCCTTTGCCGTCACACGCACGCATATCAAATGACGGCGTTGATGTGTTGAAAGCCCGGCCGGGGAGAGTTGAGTTCGAGATCGAGTGAATGAATGTGCGGACGGGCGGATGGTCAACCCTTTTTTACGGCTGGTCAGTGGAGCACTCTCCGGCATCCGGGCGAGTCCTCCGCTGTTCCGGTTCTGCCTCTGGCCCTGGCCCTGGGTCCTGGTGCTGGTCTCTGATTATGCGTCGTGCGGCCATAAATTTATATTGAAAGACGTGCGCTGTTAATCAAATTAAAGTGTTTGATTAAATTTTAAATAAAACTCCCACTTGATCCATTGCAGCAGTAGCAGCAGCACAGCAGCAGTAAAAATTCAAAATGAATATAAAAAAAAATGGAGAATGAAAATTAATTTAAGAACACGTGGCGTATGCGCAATATTCCGTTTATAAATTATCCGCAAGATTATTAATTAAATTTTGTGGTTATGCATTAGGAATGGGGTGGAATGTGGGTGGGCTTGTGGGTGTGACAATAAAACGGTACTTGTGACGTAGAAAAAATTATAATATAACAATCATGCTCGCAATAATATGTGATTGAAGACAAAGGAAAAGAAATGGAAACTAACTTCAGAAAGTCTTAGTTTATATACTTTTTCATTTTGTAATTGAATTATAGTGTTCAATAGGAAAATGATCATAACTAAGCATAACTAAATTTAAATTAAGAAAATCTTATTCTTTTAATTTTAATTTATATGACAATTTTTTCAACAAATCAAAGTTTTAAACATTCATAACTAAGACAAAAATTCATTAATTTTAATTCGGAAAGCTGTCCTATGTTAGTTTTGATAAGAGTTATAAATGTGCATACTCAAATTTAAATTTAAAAAAAAATTAAAATTTTGGCCAATTTTAACGATGTAACCCCTTATCATTATTTGCAAAATAGAGAAAATGTCGAAATTTTATTTTTCGCCCAGACGTGTCTAGATTGATTCAGCTTTCGATACTGATCAAGAATATATATGATTTATGGGGTCGGAAATGACTCCTTCAGTTAGTTTCAAGCTTCTGAATAAAATTATAATACCTTATGTAATTTAAGCGTTGAATTCAGAAATAAATGATTTTCTTTCATTGTAAGAATTCAGTGCTCCTTATATACCGAATTATTGAAGTAGTAATAGATGAATAAAAGTTCTGTTAAAATTAATTTGTGAAACACGTGGCGTATACGTGATATTAAATTTATGATTTTAGCACCAAAATGGTTAATTAAATGCTGTTGTTTTGTGGTGGGCGGATGGCTTTGGGTGCTCTTTTCTTAAGTGGGAGTGGCACCGAAAGGTCACCCGTTTAACCGGGCTAAAAGAGAATTTCGAAAACGTGTCGCAAAGTACACAGTTATATTTGAAGACTAGCCTGGCTCAAGTGCTGCACACTTTAAAGCGCTTAACGGGCCAACTGAAGTTAAATAACAATTTCACTGCTCATTAACCCTAATTTGTATGTAAATTTTTCGGGGCGCCCCAGTTGGCCCTTTTTACCCCCCCCCCCCCCAAAATCCCTTTCCCCCGGGGATGCAGCAGAATCCGGCGCCTTTAAAAGGCCAACGCCATTTTGTGTGTTTTAAGTAACGCACATGACACGGTGTGGCATGGAGGGAAACAGGACCAAGATGGAAGTTACTAACGGAAATGGTCGTCGAGGGAGAAGGGCAGAGGCAATGGCCGTGGCCATTATGGGGCATTCGCTGCCTTCTTCAAGTTGCAAATAGTGCAAACTGCATGGAGCAGAGGATGGCAGATCCCGAGAACACACAAAGAGATACCCACGAAAAGATGAAAAAGAGCAGGGGATTGTTTGTCTGCTGCCCTCATTCTCGCCTTCTCGTCTTTGGAAGTGGGCCCCATCTTCCATTAATTCATCCGCCGCCATTCCGAACAATAGGCCGTGCAACCACGGTTGCCAATTTCTGCGGCTCCTGCCAAAAACTGCTACATTTTCCCTTGAATTTTTTTCTGGCCTTCCTTTTGCTTCAATTTGCACATCTCAATTCTTTGTAATTACTGGGCAGTTTCGTAGGAGTTCGCCTCCATTAAGCAGAATTTTTCAGTACTGCAACTTCAAAGTTGTCTATAATAAGTTCTCAGAAGTGCTAAAAGTAAGTAAATTTCTTCAAAGTCTTACTAATTAACCGGCTTTTAAAAATAATTAATTAATAACTAAATATAAGCTAGAGATATCAACCGTTTGAATACATAGGATAAAACGCAAGTGAAAACTTTTCAATATTATCAGGAACCAAGAATCCCAGTGGTCAGTGGAGCCTCCAGGCCAGAAAGTGAACTTTCGCCGGTCATTATCCACCAGGCGGCAAGAAGGCACACCGAAGTGCATTAAACAAAAGGACACTGGCGAAAAATTGCCAACGAATTCGGAGACCAACTAGCACTCCAATTCGCACTTGTACTTCCACTCGCTCTGTGCCACTTGCAGGCATAAAAAAATGGGAGTCGAGGCAAACATGAAATGACGGCAATGCAGCCTTGTGCCATGCAAATTCAATAAATTAAGGCAACGACCATTAATTATATTTTAAATTGCAATGTCCACACGCACACTCGAGGCCGTGGGAAAGTTTTTGCTTTTCAAAAAAGAAAGAAAAACAGTTTCACTCGTTCAGCGGGCAAATTGTCGCAGTTTATCTTCTCTGCACGCATCGCAACGAATGCCCCTCGTTTCGTGCTGCCAATGAAAGTGCAGCAACAAATAAACCACTTTGGCCATTCCCTGGCATAAAAGATAAATAAATGCAGAAAAGAAAAGGGAACGACAGGGAATAAAGTCGAAAACAATGGAACTCCAGATGCAACATCAACTCCTGCCTTCTGGGTTCGCTCAGGATTCTATGGTCCTTCCTCCTGCTCCTGCTCCTGCTCCTGCATCCTTCTTCCTGCTGCTGCTCCTGATTCTCTCTACCCCTGGCATTCCATTCGCCGCTGACCATTATTATCGCCTCGCGTAAACAATGGCCGAGAAGGCCCTGTTGACACTGGCAGCACGTCATTAAGGACAACGTCAGTAGCCGACCGCTGACGTGTTAACTGCAGCGCGTCCAACTTTTAATTGGTTTTAAGTCACAAGTTAATTTCCATAAAGCGCTGGGAAAAGAGCTGAAAAATCCCTGAACAAAAAAAAGGGGGCGCAGAAAGAAAAAGACAATAACAAGTTGTAAATATTTACTCATAACTTTCTGAGCCAACTTAAGACAAGAAAAGAAAGACTTTAATTGGCAAGTTGATTATTATTTTGGAACTACTTTATTTATTTGCGGCTGCTTTCTATTTCTTGGGCTTGCCTCGCTTGCCGCGCTTCGGTTTCTTCTTGAAGGGACCCAGACCTCGTCGCACCATGGTGCCGCGCCACCAGGCCTGCAACCTGACGGCACACTCGATGCGATGCACCTGGAGATCGTGCAGACGCTGCTCCTCGGCCTTCTGGGCGCGATACTCCTGCACAAAGATCATCCGTTCCTCGTAGATCTCCCGATGCCTTTCGAGCTGCTTTTTCTGTTCAAGGATGCGCAGCTCCCAGGCCTCGGCCTCACGATCCACCCGCCGCATCTCGCTGATATACTTTTCCTGCCACTCCTCGATCCTGCGGTGCAGATCCACAATTTCACGCTGACGAAAGGATCTCAACTCCTTGCTCACACGCTCCTCGCGAGCCAGTTTCTGTTTGATGTCCAGAATATCCCGCAAATAAGCCCTTTCGGCGTTCTCACCCCAAATAGTTCCTTGGGCCAGTCGTCCCTCCTCCCACCGTTGCACCAGACTGTACTCCAGATCGTTGACTCGTGAGACACAGCGGAGTTTGTATTTGGTCTCGGCAATGCGATCCTCCAGATTCAGCAACTTTTCCTTGGTCACCCGCTTCTCAGTCTCTAGATCATCCTTGAGTTTTTTCAGCTCGTCCTTGGACTCTTGCAGCTGTTGAGCCGCTTGAGACACTTCGCTCTTGTTGCCACCAAAGGCTTCTATGGCCTGCTTAAGGTTTCTCAGGCTTATATCCTCCTCCTCTGGAGGCGTCTCCTTCGATTCGGTTTCTGGTTGTGGCACATCAATACTTTCACCTTCAAAGGATGTACTTTTTTCCACTCTAATGGCTTGCTTCTCTAGGACATTAAAATCCAAAATTTGACACTTTGCTGTATCTGTATCATCTTTACCTTTTACAATTTCCAACTCTGGCTTTACAGTTTTCTGTTGTATTTCAATCTTCTGAATACCCACATCCTTAGGGGCAGTTTCTTCCATTTCAGATGCCGACGCCTCATCCTTTTCGTCCTCGGAAATAATTGTCCTCTCTTTCAATTCCTCATCATCCATGGCCACCTCGTAGATTGCTCGCAGGGCATCCATATCACGCTCGAATTTCAAGGCGTCCAGCACATCCTCGTCCAGCTGATCGGCATCGTTCTCCGTCTCGCCCAGCAGGGATTCCAGTCGTGGAAGGACCTTTCCAGTAATAAGGACATGCTCCGGTTTCTCCTGGTCCCCCAGCGACGAGCTGCGTCGTCGCCGAAGAGAGGCGGGCAGGGAGAGCGGCTTACGGGCATTTAGACGCTGCGAACGCTGCTGCAGGACCAACTGATTAAGTGTGTTCTTGTAGACGGTCAGCAGCAGGAAGCGTCGCAGCTCTAGCAATTTCTCCTTGGTGTGTCCTTCTGTCATTGCTGGCAATCCCAAAATGCGTTACACAGAGACAATGGACTCGAGGCTAGTCACAGAGTTCACCCCAGTAACTGTTGCTAGGTGCCGGAGTTTATCAATGTTTGGCTTTCGGCTTGAACTCGGATTTCCCCCCATATACTCTGTTCTGTGTTCTGTGACTCATGTACGCCCTGGAAAATGCCTGGGTTTCCAGCAGGACCCGCCTTGCATATTTCATTGCTGTCATCGTCCTCGTGGCTTACGTGCAAAAATGCCCAACTGGCTGCGTCGCCTTATTGCTGCACAGCAATCGTTGAATTTATTTGCCAGGCTCCTGCTCCTCCGTTGTCCTTCTGCTGCTCTCGCGTGTATCCTTGGGGTTCGTTCACTCCTTGGGCATGCAAGTATGCGTCTTCGCCCGGGGCGCTGGCTTATGTGTTTAACCCAATAAATGCCGCGCTGATTGCAAGTTAAATTATTGGCACGGAGGACTTCAGACCCGCATTACAATTAAATTATCGCATTAACCGCAAAAAACCTGCACAGCGTTTGCTCTTGCGACTCCGTTTTCGGCCATTTTCCCAGCATGCCCGCAGCGACAGTGTTTAAAAATAAAACAAGTACAAAGACCTCTTTTGGACTGAACAGGGAAAGAGGTGGACTTAACAATACCCTGGAGTGTTTAGTTGAAGGAGGTATTTTAAAACTAAAGAAATACATCAGTAAAGTATTGTTATAGTCATATAATCTTAAATCTATAACCTAATTTAAATAAGTTGTCAAGAGGTTATGTATGTTGAAGGATTAAGCATAGACCCATTAACTTCCAGTTGTTTATAAGGTTTATGTTCTCTATAAATATAATATGAGATTATTATTCCTATAAGTGATACGTTTAGTAGGTCCAACGGGTCCCCCGTTTTACTGGATACCCTGTAAAAGAAAACCCAAATAACCCCAGTTCAGGGTAATAGAGCGCTTTAAAGGCAAACCGCCGAAAGTGGTCAATGCACCGGCAGTGTCTGCGACCAACGGCGGCCGTTTTAAGAAATGTGAGAAATGGCTGGGCGGACATTAATTTAATGCCCGCCACTGTCTCGCACACACACACACACACACACACACACACACACACACGCTGAGATACAGACAGAGATGGCCCATGTGGCGCTTCTGCTTTCGGCTGCCATTATTTTTAATAGACTCGAAAGAAAAAGTTTTCAGTTTTCTACTTCATTGACTGCAAATCGGCAAAAGAAACAGCTCTCGGGTCGCGCATTCCCGCCATATCCCCCTCCCTCGAGCCAGTCCTTTAAGGATGCCAGGATAAAAAGCCAAAATTAAGTGCCCCGAAAAGCACGCTGTGCAGCGCCTGATAAGCACACACTCCGCCACACTCTCTTACTTTAGAGAAGTGAGGCAACTGCAGCGTAAAGTCAAACACATAAATCGACCGCTCGCCATGAGGAAATTTGCCAGCAAAAGAAAAAAAATTCAATTTCCATTTAGGTCCATCGTCTCACCCCCTACCGCATTTTCCAATGCAAATGTTCGATTATGACAAACTCGCCAAACTCGAGACACCATCCCTGGGCCACCGCACACTCATCCAATATCTCTAATCCAAGATACGATTTTGGGTGCCAGGACATGCCAAGTTTTTGGCCTTGCTATTAATAGCGCCAAGGCCTGCCACAAATTGTTCCAGCTAAAATAATAAATATGTAAATATTGGACCGCAAACCTGTTCTAGCCACAGCGCCAGTCATCCGAGTAGATACAAAATCAATCCGCAAATTGTCAAAGTTTGCATGTTAGAGGTCTTTTACCAAAACCAGATGGTGGGCTTGAACCATATTAAAGGTAAAGGTAAAGACATAACTTTGTAAATATAAAGTAAACAAAAGTACACAGCTAATACAATTAGACAGTAGAAAGAATGAATTTTATTTCAATTGTCATTGAATAGTATTCTAGGTTAGCTTATTATATATTAAATATATTTGATGTAAATCTAAGCAATATATTATATTAAATTTGAAATTTATATCATACATACATTCTGTCCTTTTCTATGATTTTAAATTGATTAATTACTTATTGAGTATTCTATTTTATAAACGTTATTAGTACTTTGAGATTCATTTTAAGTTAAATATCTCTTTTCTCTAAGGGCAAGGTATCCCAAGGTCTGAACTCAAACCAAAACTTGCTTTATTACCACACATTTTCCTCTTCAAATATGCACTTTTAGTACTTTTTGGCCAAAGTTTAAAGAATGCAGCGACTGTTGGTTGCGTAAATTGCTAGCGACAAGGAGAAATTGTCCGTGGTCCTGGTCGCTTGGCAACAAGTCCACCATGTCCCTTGTCACAGGTCAGTAAGCGCAGCAAGAGGGGGTATCTATTCCTCCATATCTTTGGTAATTAGATAATTATATTTTAGTATATAGTTTACTCTTTTATATAACCACAATAAATACAATTCATTTAAGGGTTTTAACTTTAACATAACCCCTCCTCCCGTGGAGCTACGCTCCTGTTTTTGCCACACACAAACTCGTACCCATTGACCCATCCTCTGTGCCCGGAAACGAGGAACCGCCGAGATAACCTGCCGCACTTATGACAGTAAGTCCCCTCCCCCCACAGTATGTCCCTTCCTGCTCCCAGCTCGTTTGTTATCCCGTCCATGTAAATAACCAAAAATTTTATATTGCGGCCCGCAACCACGACACCGTGACAGCGCCGGCGAACACAGATGCCACATGGAGAAGCCAAGCCAGGACGAGCAGAGCAAAAGCCAGGAGCCAGAGCCAGAGCCAAAGCCAGGAGCCAAGTCAAGCAGGACATGGAGCCGCTGTGGCTTCGGTGGCAGGAACAGGAGAGTGGTCACTGCTGACGCTGAGAGGCAGGCAGGCGCAGGTCGCAGGACGAGAGGCAAAGGACATGCAGGACACCGTCACCGTCACCGTCACCGTCCATGTGGTGAGCGTGTGAATATGTCAGCGGGACCAGGGCGAGTGTGTGTTGTTGTCTGCGGCCGGGGGAGTGATAGACGCCACTACCATTAATTCACATTCAGGTGCCGCACGCTTGGCCGAGCACATTGGCTAGTGTCTGCACTGGAAGAAATTCTTAACCTTACATTGTTTCTTAGTGGATTCAAGGAAATATCACCCACCAATATATAATATTTAAATTCAAATTATTCTACTAACATTCTCTTAGTGTATGCCCTGGTGCGAGTGTGCGAAAACAACATGTGTTTACACTCATCCGAACAGAAATGGAAAGAAGCTGGGCCCACTCGTGCAGCCAAATCCCGTGCAATGCATTATAAATGGCCCGCATGGGTCCGAATCCGGTTCCGAGTTCGAGCCCAAGTCCAAGCCCCTAGGTCCGGTGACCCCAAACGACTCTACACGTTTTTTTGGCCGGGGCCAAGAACACAGCGGAACAGAAAGAAGTGACCCACTTGCCGGCCGTGTAATTAGTATACCACAGGACCCACAGGCTCTGGGGCTTCGGCTGGAATGTAAAATTCATGGGGCGAAAAATCGAAAGTTAGTTGTTGCCAAACAGTCGCCAGTCGCCGCCGTCGCCGTCGCCACTCAATGCGTGGCACGTTGGGAAAGCCAACGAGGAAAATCGATGGGCACAAAGAAATGTCCCTGGCCAATGCCAAGCAACCACCAAAAATAAATACCCAAGGAGCAAGCGGCCAAGAAGGCGGGCAGCCATGACAACGCGACTCAACAAAACAAATGCCACAGAAACAGCCACCAACCGTACAAACACACGTATTTTAATGCGGCCATTCAAATGAAGTTGCCTCAAAAATAGAACACACTGTCGCATTAATATCCCCGTGCCCCGTGGCAAGCAAACTGTGTCAATAGCGGAGTGCATATGGCCAGTTGAGTCGGAGCCGCCAACTGGTACAGTTCGCATTGGATCGAATCGGATTGGTTTTGCATCGAAAGGATATATTTAGCCCAATCCATAAGCAATGTTTCCTCAGGCAGAGCTGGAGAACTACAAGCTGCAGGTGGAGCTGCTCCAAGAGAAGCTGCAGCGTAGGTGAGAAGGAAGAAAATCGAAAAATATATCTTAAACAGGAGCAATAAAATCAGTTTAGTAGTAGATGTTATTTGCTAGGACTTTCCAAACAAAAATTAATAATTAGTAGGCTATAGTTTAAAGGAGTTTAGGAAACCTTAACCCACAAGTTTTCTAAGACAGTCCGTGTTATGCAAGGGCCAAGTGTAAACGTTTTCTCTCAAGCCATTTATTTGCCAAAAATATTGTAAATAATACCATGGTTTGACCACTTTGAAAGCCGCCCTTGGTCTACTTTTGAATATCATACAACATAAACATTGATGCTTCGTTTGCTTTGTAGATGGTGAATAATTCCAAATTCCCTGCAGTCGTGACCATTGATTTGTACAAGTCAGCTTTTCTCAAGCTTTTCGTGTGCATTTTCAGCAGCTAAGAGGTCATGTTTGTGACCTTTTGTCTCTGTAGTTTGCTTGGTTTTACATTTTGATTTCTGATTTCCTTTTGCGCAGCGAGGATAATCGCCAGCAGCTGGAGCACAGGTTGGATAAGGTCCTGCAGAAACGCAACGAGCTGTAAGTAGCTTTTTGCCCGGGGAAAAGGTAAACTAAACGCGTGTTTTCCTTTGCAGTGACAAGTCGGTGCGCCACAAGAGCCGGCAGAAGTACCAGGAGTTCCTGGAGGAGCAAACCAAACGCAATGAGCGCAACAAGAAGCTGGTCCACATGCTGGAACGGATCGATGAGCAAACGGCTGCCATGTCGCAGCGAAGCGAGCGACTTAAAATGATGAAGGTGAGTCCGGTGGCCGGAAATGTAAATTGAATCACACTGAGAGAAAGTCTTAAGAACATGTGTTAATGGTCGCTAAAAAAACTATCTCAATGTAGGTATATCAATTGCTTTTGTATCTTTTGGGCACTTTTGGAAGACTTTCTTAAAGCTTATTTTAGAAACACTTAAGATTTACCTCAGTTTGTTCCAAGTGAAACAATCTTTTAATGTACATAATACTTTTCCTCCTCCCCTTTGGAACACAGCTGCAATACCAAATGTACTTTGCGAAATTGGTCCAGAATCAAACACTGCGATGCATCCAACAAACGACGACGGCGACGGGAGCTCCGTCAACCGCCGGTGGAGCCATGCCGATACCGGTTGTGTTGCAACCACAGCCGCAGGTGACCAATCCACAGCCGACGCCCCAGAACTGGACCTTTGCCATGGCCACACCCACGCAGGCAGGTATGGTGCTGACGCCCCAATTTGCGGCAGGCATGCCCGGAACCATGCCCTATTCAATGGCTACCCCCGTGGCTGCCAATCCCGCTCCGCATCCCGTTTACTATCCGGAGATGTTTGGCGGAACTGCGACATCGCCGCTTGGCACCTCCAACTTGTTCGACTTGCGCGCCACCCTGCGCGCTTTTGATAATGAGAATGCCGATTTGCCCGAGCGCATGCAGCCCCACTTGACAGGTGATTATCAGGCGGAGATGGGCGGAAGAGCCACCCCGGCAACGCCCACGGCAGCGACATCAAGTACATCCAACCAGGAGAAGGGTGCACGCCAGCTGAGCAGCACTTCCTCTACGCTGGCCACATCCTCGTTGACATTTGATAAATTGCCAAAGACACCGCCATCACCGTCGCCATCGCTGACGTTAACTGAGCTACCGAATGCAGGAGCAGGAGGAGGAGCAGGGCCAGGGCCAGCTGCAGCTTCTGGCCATGACGTGGGCGGGCCACCGCAAAGGGAAGCTGACGACCTGGACCTGAACCTAGATGCCTGGACAAATTCACGCGTGACTAAAGTCGAGTATGAAAAATCACCAACTGTCGTTGGCCATAATGAGCCGGTCCAGAGACATCACCAGCTCCAGCAGCAGCAAAATCGACAGCAGCAACATCCGCAGCAGCAGCAGCAACAGCAACAGCAACATGACTTTGAAGCATACTTCGGTGAGCTGAAAATCGATGAGCCCTGGCAGGATAGCAACGCTGGCACCTCACCCAGTCTCCTGGAAAACAAACGCCCCCCAAGTGTGCGTTCCGGAGAAATGGCAGGGGGATCGGGCATGGGAGCCAAAGTTGGCATCAACAACGATTTGCTGGACGAAGTCAAAGCCAGTCGGGCGGCCCTCGAAAGAGCAGCGGCTGCGGTTGATGAGCAGTTGGCAAGGAGTAATCAATTGTCGCCGCCAGTGAGCCAGGAGACCACGCCGTCCTACCACCAACCTAAGCCCGGCATGTCGATTGAGAATATTGAAAATGCCATTTACGGCGAACGTTTGATCGGAAATGCGACATCAGGAGGAGCAGGAACAACAGCAGGAGCAGGAGCTGTGGCTGGGGCAACCACACCAGCAGGCGGTGGAGCCACACCAACGCAGGGATTTTTCGAAAATTTGGTAAGCAACACATCGCCCACCGAGTCGGAAAGGAGGGAGGTGGAGGAGCAACAGCAGCTGGAGCCAGAGGTGGCCGGTTACGGGCAATACGAAGCCAGCAGTTATGGCGATGCCAGTGAGCCCATCTACGCCAGCATCGATTCCGGCAACCTGCAACCAGAGAACGCGGCAGTGGAGCCGCTTTACAGCGAAATCGGAAATCCCACAGACTATCAGGCGTACGGCACGGATGCTGCCGGGCCTGCCGGTGATGCACCTGCCCAGGCAACGGCATCCGAGGTTCCAGCCGGAGCAGGAGCAGCAGCAGCAGCAGGAGCGGGGGATAACGGTGGCGAGGTGCCTCTGCCGCAGGAGTACTCCAATATTGATTACGGCAACTACGAGGCCGACCAGTATGCGGGCGGCTACGATCCCAATGCCTATCCTGGCTACATATATGACGAGACCACCGGCCAGTACATAGCCGATCCCAATGCGACCCAATATGCCCCGGATGGCAGTTACGCAGGCCAGGAGTACGATGCCAATGCGGTGCAGAACTATGACTACAGTGCGTATGAGCAACATCAGCAGCAGCAGCCAGAGCAGCAGCAACAGCAGCAGTCACAGGAGGAGCTGCAGCAGCAGGAAGCGTATCCAGTGACTGAAAAGGAAACCCCGGAAGCGGAAGAAAGTCCTGCTGCTGCTCCAGCTGCCCCGGAACCCAGCCAAGCCGCCAATAAACCCTCAAGCCCACATCGATACTCTCGACGACAGACAAACAAGCGGCGCCTAATGATGCGCAGCAGCAGCAGCAGCAGCAAAAGAAGAAGAAGCGCGTTAATTTCGTTGACAGCAGCGAAACGGATGATAGCTCAAGCGCGAAACCGACCCCAGCCGCAAATCCCGGACCCGCGGCATCCACCACCATCTCCACCTCTTCCGTATCCGGATCAGCCACCTCCACCGCCATCGCGGCCAATGCCTCCTCCTCCGTACAAAATGCGACCACGCCCCCGGTAGGCGGCAGCGAGAGTGACTTCGATTTTTCAACGGGCAGCGAGGCGAAGAATTAGAACAAGCTGAAAACAGTTGGAGCTCTAATTTGTTGCCATTTGGGTTAACCCAGCCACCAGCGCCAGCGATTCCAAAGCCAGGCCACCGCTTCGATTTATTGCCAATGCATTTGGAGAAAAAATTCCACAGAAAATCTACCAGAGTGGAGAAAAGCGAGAAGGGAACAAGGATAAAAAAAGGATAAAGTGGAATAGGTAAATAGTACTTTACGGCGAAAAAAAAAGGGAAAATGGAAGGATTCTGGGAAAATAATTGCTTTCTTGGCTGGCGACAAACTTTGAACACTTGTATTAAATCAATATTCTTACTTGCATGTCAAATAAAGCGAATAAACCGATAGAGATCTAAATTTTTTGGCACAATTTTTGGGTTTTAAATTAAGGAAGGTGGTTTTAAGAAGAATTTAAGTCCCAGTAATTAATTCTAAATATTATAATGTAAGTACTTTGCTATCGATGTGATGATAACTCATATTCTTAGTATAAAGGTTTGTTTAGAAATATAACTCTTTTGTATCCTGCCTCTATAACTTTTACTTACTTATATTTAATTAAAAATTAATCCGCGTAAGTGTGTTGGGCCACCAATTCAGCTGTTAACTGTGCGTATACGTAATATTCCGTATTAATACTTGACGATGTCACACATGCATACACATACATATGTAGGCCATCCGAATGGCCTGGAAAATATTCCATTAACGACATCGGTAATAAGATCAGCAGCTGTTGCTGCCAGGCCGCAATTTATCAAAAGTTCAATTGTCTTTGCCATGGGCTCCAAATTACCTTTTCGCCAGCTATATATGTATGTATAGTTGCTGGCCAACTCGCTGGCAATGACACTAATTATGTGCGGCCAGGCGGTTAAAGCCATGGCCAGCAAATATGCTGATTCCCGATACGAGGAGGGAATCCACTTTCCATATATGCATATGTATGGAGGTGGCGGAGGCTGCTTACTTGGCCAACAATTGCCAACTTAATTGAAATGATGCCTGGCGCAACTCTGACATACACTTTATTGCATAAACCTGTATATATGTATATACTGGATATACATATATTTGGTTGAAAATTTTAATTTGATTTCGCAGTTAAGGCATTTCCATTGGGCCCCAACTGTTGCTGACATTTTCCCATCAACTTGAGTGGCGAGCGGCATTTTTCCTTAAATTTAACAATTGCCAAGCGAAGGACTCCCGATCATCGCGCTTATTGTCAGGTTTTTTTATCATGGTATTTGCAATGCTTTTCACTGGCGGCAGTTTATTTGCAATTTTTAAAATAATTTTATGCATTTTTTTAATTACCCTTCACTTTATATATAATATTTTTTGTTTCTCTCTGCTTAATTTAAATTAATTCCAACAGTGAATGGACAGGGGTAAAAATGTAATTAATACATATAATTGGCCTGTCGCTGTGTCAACGCCCAGGCCCATCAAACAGGAAAATCAAATGTCAATCAATTTTTGTGGTCGAGTCATTAAATATTTATAAAACCATTGGGAGATAGCACACACATAGCTGTCACATTGCATATTTCAGCAGCGTGTTTAAATCGTATGCCGGAATTGGCCAATAATTGTTGGGAAATTACTACAGTGTCGAGTAAATAGACAAACATCCCCCGCACATCCCATCCATCGAACTCGCTTCTGTTTCACTTTTTAATGAGTTGAACGCTCGAAAGTAAACCGAAATGAAATGAAGGAAGAATACCAAAAAGGGAAGGATGGAGTAAAGTGGAACTTTTTCAACAGAAATTTGCAATTAAATGTAACACACAAAACCTCAAAGGCAAATGGCAATATAAAACGTAATGGGCCACATTTAAATACCATCTCAGTCAGACAAATTTTCCAGCGTCGTGTCACTTCAAATGAAATATTTGCATTGACCCTAACTTTTGGCATCACCCCGAACAAAGTAAAAAAAAGGAAAAGGTTTTATATTCCTGCTAATGACGACGCAAAAACCAAAACACAGAAAAAAAATCAAATTTCTTATCAAGCAGCAGCCAACAGCTAATTGCCAGCTCAATTTACGGCAAAATGAAATATCTCCAATAAAGATCCCTTTTGAAATAAAAACCAAGAGCGCTTCAAGTGTGAAAGTAAATATCGAAATTACATCAAAGTTTGTTGCCCAAGATCGTGAGAGAGGTTTGCACATATTTTCCATTAAGCTTCTTGGCGTTTTGTCAGAGGAAACATTATACAAATACGAAATATACATATATATATATATATATATATATAAAGGATGCATGTTTGATGTGTGTCCTTGTTAGCGCGCAATTCAAAAATAAATTGCAAAGCAAATCAAATCGACACGTCGCAGGTAAGAAGGATAAAGGATTATAGCTGTTTCGCCCACAGTCTGCATAATTGAGTGGCGCTTATTTATGCACCCCAGGCAAGCAGAGAGAGAGAGAGAGAGCAAACAACAGGGGATTCCCCCTTTTCAGAACTCAACCCCCAATCAAAGCAGACCCCCCATAACCAGGCAACATATTCCAGACTCGTATCCGGGAGTGGGTTTTGAAAGGAAAGAAAAAATATAATCAGTGCTGAAATTCAATTTCGAAATAAAACGCAAACGCAAATCGAGAAGCAAAAATTTCCAATGCCATCGAACATATGCTGGGTTAGGGTTCCCACGGTGTGTGTGTGTGTGTGTGTGTGTGCGAGTGTGTGCTGCATTGTGTGTGCACACACTCGGTGAAGCAGAAACAAACAAGGTGGAACCAAACCAAAGAGCCACAGCCAACATACGCGGCATATGATTGACGGTTATGCAAATGACATTTTCGGGGGTAAAGGCAAGACTTTCTCGAAAAATATTTATAGAGCAGTTACGGGTATGAATAAAAAACGTTACCTGGGTTTTGAGGGCGGAGGAGCAGCATAAATGATGGATTGAACCTGTCGGAAATTAATTTCCAGCTGCAGTCAAAGTCGAACTTGATCATCAGCGACAAAGCCTAACTATAAACATACATTATAATTCTATCAGGTAATCAAATATTGCATTTTAATTATCTAAAAACCACTCTTTTTCGTAAGAGAATATACAGTGTTTTTCATTTTCACAAAACGCAATGCTCCACTACTATGTTATTTGATTAGAACCCAAATTAAAGGGTCGCTTGGTATTATATTTCGTCAACTAACAAACCTTTATTTAAACTAGGTTGGGTTCCTGGTGGAAAACCAAACATTGGGTATAGCTTCCAGCTACGGTATCCAAGTCATTGGCCGCTGCACTGACATTAACGCTAATTGAAAACATGAAAGGCGATATAGCAAACGAAACTCCCCGAGGTTCCCGTCATCCGCGATGATTAGTGCACGTGCAATGCTTTCAACCCGTCTGGTCTGTCGAACCGCGTCGATGTGTAGTCTCCCATGCCGCCTGTCACCTGCCATGTGCCACCTAGCTCCACCACCCAGCACCACCCAGCACCACCCTGCACCACCCTGCACCACCCACCTATCCCCCAACGCAGGTCTGACTGCTCCATCGTTTTCCTGTTCAATTTCGTGCTATTTTCATGGTGAAAAGATAACAAAAGTTTGCCTCACTTTGGTGCGCTCGGCGGCAACATAAGAGTTTTCTCCACGTTTTTCCGCCAACTTATTATTGTTTAAATATTTACACTGAAAATGGTGGCAACGGTAGCGGTGGCAAGGGTGCGATTCCCGCTGTCTTGCTCCGTGTCGTTTTGGGTTGTTGTTGAACTTGTAGAAGACTCCGGTTCCATATGCGCATCAAGTCTACCGGAGAGTCACCTCTTTGGGGGAGGGAGCACAAAGTTTTCCAGCCACTCTTGCCCTGAGCCCAAAACTGGGTCCTCGCATTGTCACGCAGTTGTCTTGCTGCTAGTTCGAGTTTTTGGCCCAGAAAAAAAGGGAAAACACATCTTAGTAAAATCTGAAAGACATTTCAGATACAGAGCTTTAATAATGGAACTTTAGTATGATTTTAAATGGTTCAATTTGGGTAAATTATTATATTTAATATCAGCTAAAATCAAGAGTCTTCTTATTACTTACTTTATTTTTGTTTAAGAACAGGAACTATTCCTTTATTTAATATTCTTCAATTTAGTGAGCTTTTACCCTTTAGTGTTTGAACTCCAACTTATCCCTTGGTTTGACGGATCCTCTTAGCCAACAATGACAGACGAGTCCTTTGATTTAGGCCCAGTTTAAAGGACTCCCCGGAAGCAATGCTTCACTTTGGCGATTAGTTGACTCTCGAAAAATTCGCTGATGATGTGCATGCCTCTGGAAATATATGTTTGTATGTGGATTTGTAAGTATATTTTCAGTTGCTGGATGCTAATGCCGCATCGCACTTATTCAGATGACTGGGGGAAATGTTTTCGCATAAACATCACGTCGGTCACGTTTCACGTTTGTCCGTTACAGTTACAGTTACAGCTTCTGCTATATAGTCATAGCTATAGCTTCAGAATCAGCTACAGCATACAGTCGGAGCCCCACTTGGCGATGCTCTCTTTTTTCTATACTGTTGGACTCTGCAAATGTTGGGCAAGAGCCAGCCAGACACGTATGACAGTTTTACTACGATGGCAAACAATGCTAATAATCATCATAATGCTTTTGAAGTGGCGCAAATATTTGCCAAGCCCATAAACATAAATCAGCAGCAGGGTGAGATGGCGAGGTTATGAGGAGTGGGTGTGGTTTGGGTTTAAAACGTCGGCAACATGAAGCCATGACATATATGTATGTATGTACAACCAGGACATTGAATTTACGTCCTGTCAGTTGGACGGATGGATGGAGGAGCTGTGTACAATTTGCAATCAGGCAAAACTAATTTGGCCAATAAGCCGCAGGCGAAGAGGTCAAAAAGGTAGGTGAATCGAAACCGACAGTTGCAGCAGCCGTGCTCCAAATTGCACAGATAATGGCAGCAGAATCAACTTGAGCGCCTGCTATTGACAATTCAATGCCACAAACACAAAAGTATTCAGCTGCTTGGGCCGATTGAGAGATTCCCAAATGACAGTGGAATTGATTTTCATCGATATGGCACACACACATGGAGATGACTTGTTCTGTATTTCATATTCATATGCGGAGGTGCTTCTGCCTCCACCTCGTGCGGCTTCCTTGGGTGAGTGTCCCTGGCAATGGCAGTCAACCGCAATGTAATTGATGTGGATGCCAGCTCCAACTGCTCCGCACTCCTTCATGTTGTTATTCATTAAAGTCCCAGTCGAGTGCCTTTGTCTCTCACGAAGGTCTCGAGTGTTGAAGCACCACCCCCCGTTCGGTTCGAGGCTAATCTGCATTGTCTGGCTGGCAACATGTAAGATACTCAGATTCTCAGATACTAGGGGCAACTAGGATACTGGGATACTTGGATACTTGGTTGCACGGAACTGGGAGACACGGCTACACATGTCACATTGTCCTGCTCCCTTCAACCGCAACATTAAGTAGTCTTAGTGATGATAAAGTTTAAAGTTCGTGAGACTCGTGCAAGGATTCTAGGAAAAAAAATATGCAGTGAAAGGAGTTAAAACCAACTAGGTTTCTATAACAAAAACAATACTTTGGATTATATAAGACCTAAGGTTAAATTTTCTTGATATCTGCACGATCTCCTACACTGGGTGCAAGGATCAAAGCTTCCGATAGTATCCCTAATCGTTGTATCTAGAGGCTCTGGCGGAATTTTCACTTTTATTGTTTAAGCTTTCAGCACAGATTGTGTGCGTCTTATTGAAATCCCTTGTGTGTGTGCCCCAGGCTGGCGACACACGCTCTGCTCCTCCAATTCACTCCACTCCATCCCATCCCATTCCAGTCCAATCCTGGCGTGCATTGTTTCTCCTGGGTTGCTGGCTTAGACGATGCCATTACCCAACTCTAAACACGCCAATGTCTTCGTCGGTGCTCAGTCTCTTGATTTGTGCAAAGCAAAAGCCTTGTTGCGAATGGCAAAGTTATTTGAAAGCATTGATTACATATTGATAGCAAAGACAAGGCTCCTCTGCTTTTCGAGTCAACTTAAACCGCCAACCACAAACCGTGAATCGAATCGCAGGAAGCCGATTTCCGCAGAAACACAGCTGGTCGGTCTCTTCATCCTGATACCAAGAAATTGATACTTCCCTAAATTCGTTATTACTCGGGAGAGTGTTTTCTGAGATAACAAAGTGTTTATGACTTTGATAAGCTTTCTAGATGTTTGAAATGGTAAGAGTATAAAGTTGTGGCGAAATATCATTTATCTTTGATCAAGATATAAGACACAATTTAAATTATTCCTTTTTTCTGTTGTGAAATATAAACAAAATGCCAAAAATATACAAGAAATAGAAGAAGGAATAGCAGAAGTTTTTCAATTATAATTTCATGCAAGGCTGTAATAATATAGCAAAAGTTGGCGCCAAAATCAGGGTCAATTTTGAAATTATCCTATGAGTAAAAAAACAATATTCATAAATAATATTAAACTAAGTTAAGCTGTTACTTTGAGAATACGTTTTTAGTTATCATTAATACAAATTGCTGTATCACTTTATATTAATTAATGGAGTCCATTGCAATAATAATAATTAATTAGCGAATTATAATTGTCATGGCTAAGACTTACCACAGCGGGGGAGTAATTCCATCCATTATTGAGTTATATTCCTGATGACTTTAATTAGGGTTTCCATGGCTTCTTCCTGGTTATCCAGATGAACTGCATTGGCCATGAAGAGCAATCACTATCACTGCCACGATCACCATCGATGTTAACACTGGGAAGGCCCCGCACATACTGAGGGCCGCGCGAGTGAAGCGGCTGTATTTATAGTCGCCGAACAAAGAGAACAGAGAAAGTGAGAGAGAGAGAGAGAGCGCGACAGATATTCCCATAGCTAGGCAGAGAAAGGTAGAGAGTAAGAGTTTTCTCTAGAGAAAGAGAGAGAGTGGGAGAGTAAGCTATTCACTGCCATTACAATTACAATTTTGATTTCTACAAATTTTCCGATCGTTCCTATGGCACCTATATGATATAGTCGTTCGATCCGGTGCTTGTTCCGTGTATATATTAACGAGTGTATATAAATAAAACTGAGAGACTAGTTTTCATATAAAAGGACAGACGGATGGACAGATAAACATGGCTGAATCAACTCTTTTGATGATGATAAAAAATATATATTCTTTATATGACCGGAAATGACTTCATGACTGCGTTGACTTTTGATTATAATTATATTACAATACAAGGGTTTTAAAATGTATGCAAATGTATTAAAATTTCGTATATTTGTGAAGCTAAAAGCTCTCTCGAAAGTCGAATTAAAATGTGCAAATGCACTGCTTATTATTTATTGTATTTTTTAATAGTTTTACTAGTTAAAATCTTTTTTTTTAACGTTAAGCTCGGACTCCCAGAAAAATGAAGTCTCGTTGTTGAGAGAGTGAACTGGCAAGTGCATTAATGCCATTTCCATGGCAATGGCACGTGATCCGCTTTACGGATGGCCCAGAGGAGTGCCTTGAAAGGCAGGAGAACGTAAGGGGAAATGCGGCTGGCAGTGCAATTTAATGCGCCATGGCCACGGATATCCGTTTAATGGCCATGAATACATAAATAATAAATAATAAAATCGTATTTGTTTATTGCTCGCAGACACTCACCGTCGGAGGGGAGGAACTTACACATTGCCGTTATGTGGGATTTATTTACCTTTGCGAATAAAATATATCAATATTCCCAGCATTTCTTTTTTTACTAAAGTTAAATGCAATTTAAACAATAAACAATATTTTTATATTAAGAATGATAAAATTCATTGGGCAAAAAAATGGTGTACATATCGGTATAAATGTATATATTCACGGACTATCTGTGCACCAATGCCAGAGATTGGCTATTAAGGCCATGTAAGTCGATAAAAGTGTATGTGTGTGTGTGAGAGTGGACGAGCACTTCCGCTTTCCTGTGGCTTGTTAAAAATTATTTAATTTTATTGTATTTCAATTGTTTGTTGCGGCAGGGAGGAAGCAATAATCCAAAGTCATTGTTACTTCACTGGCCTGCATAATAAATGAGTGGCACGCTCCACACCAGCACTAGTGCCACCCCTCCAGGACCTCGTCCTTTCCCCGCGTCCTTCGGATACTAATGCATGGCAATTTGCGCTGCTCTCGAGGAAGATTGTGGAGCTTCGATATTCGGAACAAATCTGTCAACTCAGCTATAAAAATACTAATACAATAATAATTAAAATACTCTGTTCTTTAGAGTATTTGCAATGATAACTATTTTTAAATTCAATTTTATCTATTATAATTTGAGTATGCAGTTTTATTAATTAATGCTTTATGCTTGCGATACGATGCTATAATTTAATTCGAAATTTCAAGGATATATACACCTTGGTTTCCCGATGTTAGTTTCCTTTTCTGGTTATATATCCTTTATTTTTCTAAGCCCTCATCACTGATGGGACACTGGTGCCGGATCAGGATATGTTGCTATGGCAAATTAAAAATGCCATTGGCACGGCGTCCAGCATGCAAATGCATGTCCATGTCATAGAGTTACACAAAGTGCTTAATCAAGCTTAAAAGAAAAGGACTCCAAAGAGAAACATACATGGCCAAAGTAACAGAAAATAGGAAATGGAAAGGGGACACCCAATCCTCCACCAGTTGGGAGGAGATACGGCGCTCTCATTGACTGTGCAAAGTGAAGTGAAGTAGTTTAAAATTAAAAAGGACACTTAATCCCGTCAATGTCTTGCCGTCGCGCCGGCAGCCCCCCATCCGAATCCGGATCCTCCCGTGTGTATATGTGTGTGTGTGTCCTAGTGGATCCTGGTGAAATTCCAGCACGGGATTAGCAAGTGGTCGGTGGGGGATTGAACGTAGCACATGGTGCTCTCCCATCTGGGTCTGTGAGGGGTGTTTTCATTTGATTTGGCTCGGACCGGAGTCCACAGAGATGGCTCTGGTGAGTGGTTGTGGGCGGCAGTCGATGTTTGCCCACTTTTGCTCACAAGAAGTGCAATTATGTGCACAAAATGGGGAATGAAGCAAGAAAGTGGAGCAATTGAAAGCGACAGATGGAGCGATGGAAATGTGTGGATGCACATGCAATCGTCGAAAGACAATGCTGATTGCCGGCCAAGACAAAAACAATTTAGCTCGCATTTGCATGAGAAGGAATGGAAAATGGAAATTACCAGGGTTATGACGTGGAAATTGGTCAGGCAACAAGATAGTAATCTTACCCCCCGTCGAAACGGGAAACCTTACCTCATGGATCATGGCCTCATCTTATCTACCTAATTAGTGAAATGCACTAGCTGGGTATTCCGAGCAATTAATTATTCAAGGAAAGGTGGTGATGAACTACTAAGGCTACTTACTGACTACTGCAAACATAATATTAAAGGATCCCGGTACTTGGGTAAAGGTTATATATTAATTTTCATCCCTGCACCAGAGCCACATTAGTTTGCTTTCATTCTCCACCGAAAATGGAGGTCAAGAGGAGCCGCCTGTTGGTCACTGCTTTTCCCTATCTGCAAATCTTTTCGGTGTTTGCTCTCACACCACCGCCCCAGAGTTTTGGCAAGAGCTCAAATAATCACCTCGGAAGATATTTGATGGTTGGATACTGTTGCTATGCCTTGGCCCTCCTAGTGCTGGTCTTTGTTGTGACCTACGTGAATATTGTGGCTATAATCGAAGAGGTAGAGGACTACAAGGTGGAAGACTTCACCAAAGTCATGGGGAACTGCCAAAAGATGCTGCTCTCGATCATGAGCATTACCAACCACTTGAACATGCTGTTCAACTTTCGTCGTCTGGGCAGGATCTACGAGGACATTGCGGATCTAGAGGCAAAAATCGACGATGCTTCTCAGTGCTTTGGTGGGCAAAAGCACCGCATCAGCTTCCGGTTCCGGTTGGCCATCGGAGTGGGACTGTGGCTCATCCTACTGGTGGGTCTACTGCCACGTTTTACCTTATTAGCCATGGGTCCCTACATCAACTGGCCGTGCAAGATAATCACCGAATTTGTCTTGGTAATGCAGCAGTTAAAGAGCCTAGAGTATTGCGTCTTTGTGTTGCTGATCCACGAATTGGTGCTGCGACTGCGCCACACGCTCCTGCAGCTGAAGATGGAACTGATGGACTGCGATCGGCAGGACATGCTCCGAGCTTTGAGTGTGGCTCTGAAACGTAACCAGCTGCTAATTGGTCAAGTCTGGCGAGTGGGCGTTGAGCTGGGCACCTACTTTACGCTGCCCATGATAATGCTGTTCCTGTACAACGGTCTGACCATCCTGCACGTGACCAATTGGGCGTACATCAACACCTTTTACGATGACGATTGCTGTCGCTATGGTTAGTGAAGTTAACATCATTTAAACATTATTTTTTAAAGGTTTTAACTGATTTCTTAAGTTTTAAATATATATATATTTGATAACTTGTTTGATTTCCGAATTCTTTCACTTTTCAGACCGCTTTGGCACTTGTATTTTGCTGATACTTAATCTTTTGTTGGTCTGCTTTCTGAGTCAGCGTTGCACAGATGCAGTAAGTTATCATCAAACTATAAAATTTAATAGAAGATTAATAAAACCTATAAAATACAAATTCCTTTAGTACAATAGCTTTCCTCGCATCCTTCACCAAATTCGATGCTTGTCAGCGGTTACAGATTTCCAACCCTTGAATATGGGGATTCGGGAATACTCCTTGCAAACACAGCACCTCAGGCTGCTTTTCACCTGCGGTGGATTCTTCGATATCAATCTAAAATACTTTGGAGGGGTGCGTAATTACCTTATTGAATTATATCCTTTACGACAAAGCTAATAATGACTTTTTTAGATGGTAATCACCATACTCGGTTATACTATAATTCTCATTCAATTCAAAATTCAGGCAATTGCCGAAACAAAATATAGATCTAGCCTCAATAGCAGTACTTAATAAACAAGAACTAAAAAATAAATAAAGAACACCACGACTTGGATTCTACTTTGTTAACTCTGCGATCATCTTAAATGATAAGAGAACAATTATATCGATATAAACAAAACATTAATAAAATTGGTTTAGAGAGCTGCTTCAACGCAGAACATTTTGTCAGTGTCCTGTAAAGCCCCGTCGAATATGGAAGACAATCGAAGTTGTCTCCTGGCCACTGCCCGGCCATATCTTCAGATATTCTCCGTATTGGCTCTTACTCCACCACCCATGTTCTTTGAAAGTACATCGAATTTACGTCTCAGGCGGAATCTAAAGATCGGATACTGCTGTTTTGCATGTGGAGTACTTCTTCTGGTCACCTACGAGTGTTATGTGAATATACTGAGCTTGCAACAAAAACTGGAACACTTTCATGTGGAGGACTTTAGCAAAGTTATGGGGACCACGCATAAGGGCCTCATATTAGTCATGGCCATCTGCAATCACTTGAACATGTTATTCAACTATCGACGATTGGGTGGTATTTACAAAGAGATCGCGAAACTGGAAGCGGATATAGATGTTGCCTCAGAGGACTTCGGTGGACAGAGGCGCTGCTGTAGCTTCCGCTTCCGGTTGGCCATCTGTGTGGGTCTGTGGATGGTACTCCTTGTGCCCCTGGTACCATCTTTCAGTTATGACCGCCTAAGTCTGTTCCAAAGCGAGACAAATAAGATCATAACAGAAATTGTGTTGATTATGCTGCAGTTGAAGGGACCGGAGTATTGTGTGTTTGTAATGTTTGTCTATGAGCTAATTCTCCGGGTTCGGCATACTCTGCAGCAGATTAATCAGGAGCTGGAGGATTGCGACTGTCGGGACAGGCTTCAGGAGCTGTGTGTGGCCCTGAAGAGAAATCAGCTTTTTGTTGGTCGAATCTGGCGACTTGTCGGTGAGCTGGGCAGTTATTTCACCCTATCCATGATGCTGCTGTTCATCTACAATGGTTTCACCATTCTCCATATGGTAAACTGGGCCATCATAAAGACAGGCCATGATTGCTGTCCATATAGTAAACAAATACCGCTTTAACTCTCTGATAAATAAAGAAATAATGTAATTTTTACAGAGCGCGTGGCAGTAAGTGTGACACTTACTCTTAACCTGTTATTGGTCTGCTCCTACAGTGAATGCTGCACCAATGAGGTATGTATTTGTATGACTTAATATCTTTGATTTCATTTTATATTTCATCCCTAGTATAAAGGCATTCCACGTATTCTGCGTAAAATTCGCAACTTGTCGATCGCGGAAGAATTTCCTACTTTGAAAATGGGTTTAAGGGAGTATCTTCTTCAAATGCAGCATCTAAAGCTGCTCTTCACTTGCAGCGGATTCTTTGACATTAGTCTAAAATACTTTGCCGGGGTATACATTTTATAATTTACTTATATAACGTTATGTAGATATTCAATTTTACAGATGTTGGTCACCATACTCGGCTATATCATTATTCTAGTTCAATTCAAAGTCCAGGCATTTGTTGAGACGCAAAAAAAGGAGGATATACTAAATAATTAGATAAATATATTTTCCAGGCAGCAAAGAAAATAATGTATTTAAGAAAGGCACATAGTAAATATATGCTATGCTATTATTTAATTTTCTTTTTCAAAGATTTAATGTAGTTGCTTTAACCTACCATAGACGACAGGTTTTATTTTCAGGCCTCATTCCACTTCCAAGGGGACAGTTATAGGCCTGGACAAAGTCATCGCTATTGGATATCGATCCCAGGACACGATACTTGTCGATGGCGTGAACATTGGTCATATGTTTGTAGTAGTGCTCCTCCTTGAACTCGGAGCAGAAGAGTTGTGCAAAGCCTAGGAAGAAGAGTTGATCCGGATTGAGATCTATGCCTGGCATCTGCTCAATGGTCTTCTTTTGCTCCGGATCCTCCAATTGTTGCTTCATGTGGCTCTGATAGGCAACAAATGCTTGCCGTAATCCTCCATTGTCGGCGATGTTTTCATCCTTGGTCTTAATGCCATTGACATTGACACCAATCTCTGGTATAGTATAGTTGCTGTATTGCTTGATAAAACAATGGGTTCGGATGTCGAAGCCGCGTTGCGTGTTCTTCGTCCACCAAGGATTCACATTTCCCTTGCTATCAAACATGGAGCTTGTCGAGTCGAAGCCATGAGTGAGTTCGTGGCCCACAATGAAACCCAGGGTACCGAATTTCAGAGAATCTGGCCACGCTCGGTGATAGATAGGTGGTTGCAGGATGCCGGCCATTACGTTAATAGAGTGATCAATGATATAGTATGAAGCTTGGACTTGCATACCCAGATAAGTTGTCTGTGGCAGGGTATCGTTGGTCATTTCCTCGAAGTGAAGGCTACTGAAACGGTCGGTGTTGATTCTGTATCTCGCCAGGTTGATCTTAGTTGTGGCAAAGCTGTCCTCGACGATTTTCAGGCTGGAAATCTCTCGAACCAATCGATCGATTAAAGCTTCGTTCTTGAGGGATCCAACGCTCGACTTTATGGTGGATTCTTTAAGGAGCGCCTCAACTCGGGACTCATCGTCTAGCCACTCAGCCTCTTCCAGTGACTTTCTTAGACTCTTTCGCAACTCCATCACCATTGCCAACACCTCCAAACGCGTCTCCTCGCTGAAATGCTCCTGGGGGGAATAAATAAAAGGATTTGAAATAATATCCTTGAACTATATTCCTCAATTCTAAACCCACCGCCATGTATAGTTTGTCTATGAGGAACGGCATGGATTCCCGAATTAGTCCTACGCAGTAATCCTGTTGGTACTTAGCCTCCGTCAGCTTGGCATCGAATTCGTAGAGCAACTTCATGGCCAGATAGTTGGCCACGGCCTCTGGGTGTCGGGTGCAAACCTTGTCCAGCGCTAAGAAGAAAGTTTCGCATTCATTGTGCTTGGTGATGTTCACACCGTTCCAGGCGATCGCATAGTAGTTCCCTAACTGAGGGAACTCGGCTTCATCATCCTCAGTTGACTCAAAGGACTCGCAGAGGTCATTGTACTCTTCGGTCACATCGAGTGCATCCCGCCAGAAGGCAAACACACCGTCGATCACTTCTGTAATCCTCTCCTGGGATACATTGTAGGCTTTGAGGTAGCCGCGCATCCGCTCATCATTGAGCCGGAAGGCGCGAGAGTCGTTGCCGGCAAGGTTGATGGTGTCGACGATGTAATCGAATCCTAACTTTGGCGGCCTAAAGAAAGGCTCAAAGGGATAAGCTGCAACAAGCTCCTCGTGGATTAGTCCTTGGGCCCCGTAATTGGTCAGGTGGGCGCTCATGTTGACCCAGCTAAATTCGTATGCATTCCAGGAGGCACCGTCGACTGCGGGAAATCCCCCTGACGATCTAATGAGGTTCAGGTATGCGGGATCCGCCGCCGAAAACCGCACGAGTTCTGCTCCCAGACAGGCATTATAGAAACGTTGGGCTACGTCCAATTCCCTGGACACATTGAGGGTCTCCGCCAGTTGTGTCCGACCCAGTAGCTGCACCGTGATATCGTTCAGTGTGAACGTCTGGTCCATGATGTTGTTCCGCCGATTTAAGGAGAAGTGATCTGCCTTGGCAAGCGGATAGTTGCCGCACGCGTACTCATAGAAATTGTCGCATGGCTCCACACTAAGGTTCATATAGGATTTCATGTGCTCGGCATAACTCTTTAGGTAATCAGCAGAAGATTGCTCCTCATCGGTTCCATCTGTGACGTCCGTCAGACTTCTGGCTCTAATTTCCACGGGAAACTGCATTACAGACACAAGAAATAGTATCCACCACAGCAAGATGGAGCTAAGGTTATTCGTGAATATTTTTGGGATTGACATCGCTAGCTTATAAAGCCACAATTTGCGGTTTGTTCGATTGAAACTTATAGCGCTACTGACTACTTCAAAATTCAAATAAACACTGCCGACTTGCCTAGGCTATACTATACCATAATAAGCATACATATTCATATACGACATATTCGCAAGATTAAAGGCTGTTATCAGCTCAATTCGCTCTGATTTGAACGCAACTAGAAGCCTAGGTTCATTGTCTTTAAATTGAAATAATTATTAAACATCAGTTATTAAATAATCGGGCATTATTGTCGCATAAATCTAAAACCATGGGAATCTGGGTGTGTTTAAGGTTAATTTTAAGTGTATTTCGTATACTACAACTAAAATTCAGAAATAATAATTAGAGTAGATGCAAATCTGTTAAAACCCTCAAACTTAAACCTTCTTTTTTTATACCTTGCCGGGTAATATAATTTTAATCTGAAGCTTGTTATACTGTGAAGTAGTCATTTCCGACCCCATAAATCATATATATTATTGATCAGAATCAACAGCCGAGTCAATCTAGCTATGTCCGGTCGAAAAATAAATTTTCGAAATTTTTTCAAAATTTCATATGGGGTTACATCGTTAAAATTGTCCAAAAATTGTCAAACATATTTTTTTTTTTTTAATTCAAAACTGAGTATGCAGATTTATTAACCTAAAAAAAACTAACATTGGAAAACTTTCCGAATCAAAATTAATGAATTTTTGGCTTAGTTATGATTTTTTTCAAATTTGTATAAACACCAATTCAAGAAAGCTTAGTTTGGATCGCTTTCTGATACGATCCCATAATTCAATTGCAAATTGCATGGGTATATAAATTTTGGCTTCCCGAAGTTAATTACTATTTATGTTTTAATTTTACCATTGTTGCCTTATTATATAGTAGGCAAAAAATATAGAATAAAAAATATATTTTATACGATGACAAAATATTTTCTACATATACTGCGGCGACCCCAGGCGGTGAATTCTATAACGAAATGACATTGCTATTGCGTGGCTTTGCAATTAAGTTCACAGTATTCTTTAATTTTTACGTCTACAGAAATTTTTCGCGTGTCAAACCCCTCTATCTAAGTACATAGTTATAAATCATGCCGAAAAAACTAATTTTTCACACAAAGTCGGCGTAAAAATCTTGAAAAAGGCTCGTAAAACAGAAATTTTACAGTAGTCATAGATTTTACATTGAACTTTACAAATTTACGTACTTTTACAGTAGTGGTCCAAAAATTAGTACTTCCTTTGGCATTGCACCAAATAGTTCGAAAATTCAAATTAAAGTCGGTTTTTTTATATTATGTATATATTTACGTATATTATTTTTTTGGACAGCACCCACTCCGGTGTCAAATCGGTAGTGCCGTTTGAGTGGGAGCTATTTTCATTACACAATTAGGCTATTATTGTTTCACTTATTGCCATCGACCGATCCACAGATCGACCAATTTTCACCATTCACAAAATACTATCTTATCGCTAGACGTAGTCTTAGTCTATGGATCTTACATTGAACATTTTATGTCGTTACATTTTCGGGAATTGTACTCGTAATTAATTTAGTCTAGTTTAGTGTAATTGCGACAAATTAGTGCTATGACTTACTGGCTAGTACCTAATACCTACTGCTAAACATCTGCCCACCTAAACCCATCAGTGTTCGATTTGTACAATTAGTAGCTTATGCCTAAGAGATTGTAGTTGGATTACTTGCTCGTGAAATGTTCAGTTAGGTTCACTTGTTTGGACTCTGATTCCATATAACTTCAATTGGTAATCACAGATTGTAAATAACTGGAATAACTTTTGGAAGTTGTACATTCAAGGCGTATATTTAACTAGTAAAGAGTAAAGAGAAGTAATTAACTAATTAAAACTGGCCGGAAAACGTCAACAAACTCGATACTAATAGACATATTTGCACTTGGTTACCGCACACCAGGGATTGATTGCAACATCGCCACTGGCAGTTACACTGAATTCAATATAAAGCTCCGATACAGTCAATAACAATGGGTATAAAAAAATGTGTGTGCTGGTGAATGAGAAAGGACACTGGTGGTCTTACACAGCTACTTAGGGACTTAATTCTAATTACTCTTAACAGTGGTACTTGGGCTAGCTAACAATCAAAACAGGTCCAAATTGTTGTCGTTCATGTAGCTCAGCAGGTAGTACAAGTAAATAAATAGACACACTGTAGGCAGGAGATAATTCAGCAGTAGGTTAACTATTATCCCGTCCCGTGCTTCCCGTTCTCGAACAGGCCCTTCTTGAAAAAAGACGACAGCTGGACGAGGGAGGCACGCGTGAGGCCCGGTCCCCCGGGTCCATCGTAGATCGGGCACTGCGGAATCTTTGAGCACACGACAAACAGGCGGCGCAGGTACAGCTCCAGCAGGCGCCGTCGATGCTTGGCCACCGGCTCGCTGTTCGATGCGAATAGCTCCCGTCGCGGGAAGGGTAGTGCAGAGATCTAAACGAAAATTTAATCAATTATACAAATTTAATTTTAGTGCTTGACTCACCTTGGCTCCATAGCAGTGCTTCATGCATAGGTGCAGCTCCCGGAAACGACTGTAGCGCCGCAGGATGTTCAGTTTTCCATCGGGCAGAGCAATGCGCACCTCATACTCGTAGTGCGTTTGCTTTCCAGCGCCGCGCATCACAAAGCTGGGTATGGTGATGAAGTGTTCGCCTTCAGCTGGAAGCAGATGGAAAAAAGCTGAAGTTAAATGAGGAATTAGGTTCCCTTACATCAAAACACTTACGAAATTCCCGCATAGATGGACACGATCGGGTCATGCTAGGCGAATAGATCTGCGAGGTGGACTCTTCCATGCTGGTAGGGCTCATGGCACTCGAGCGCATGATGGAGCTGGCCAGCTCGTATTGTCGCTCCATGCCGGACCGCTCTTCGGCACAACACTGGGCATGGGCCTCCAGATCCTGGACCGACTGGAGCATCTCCTGCTCCATTTGTATGTAGCGTCGCTGCAGATCCTGCAGGTCGGCGATGTGCTCGTCCAACTGGGTCTTGTCCAGGTCCGTTTCCAGGTTCTTCATGATCAGTGCCTTTTGGGCGGCGATTTTTCGGCGCAACGAATGCAGCGGACAGTAGGGACGCGATACATCCGAGTGTCGCCCCAGCTCGCAGGAGGAGCAGGAACCGGTATCCTCGTCGCTAGTTCTCACTCCTTGTCTGTAGTTGTTTATAAGTCCGTTCTGGAGCAGAGTTTGATTGCGGTTGTCCAGGCACACACCGCTGTCGCTCATGATGGCCTGCGAACTGGGCGTGGCTGTGGGAGCAGAGCCGGAGCCAGAGCCACCAATGCCAGCGCTACCGGTGCCACTCCCACTACCGCTGCTGGGACCAGCGGTACAGGTGCGCGATGCATCTTCGCTGCTGCCCGATATGTCGTCATCCTTGCGCGTATCCTCGGCCTCGTCCTCCGCTTCGCAGGAACAATTACTGAGTGGCGACTGCTGGCCCTCCGTGATCGTGGGCGATGAGACGAGCGAAAAGTTTGACTGGGCGGTGTGGAAGGTATCACAGGTTTCGTACGTGTCCGATTTGGACACATCGTCGGCCTCGTTTGTGCTGGTCGAGGTAGACATGGACATGGACTTGCTGCCCAGCTGCAGCTTCATATTCTGCTTTTTGACGCGCATAGCCTGGGCCTCGGCTTCGCTTTCGGCGCGTTCCAGACGCAGACGTTCTAGCTGGGCCTGGATTTCCAGCATGGTCTCATCGACCTTGGCTATTTTGCTGGTGCTTGCATTCAGAATACGCTCCTTTTCAGCGATTTGTTCGTCCAGTTTCCGAATTTCCTCGTTCTAAAAACCATGTAATGAATCGTTTTATTATAAAGAAAGGGGAAATGGAGAGGCTAAACTTACATTTCTTCGCACAGTGTCTTTGATGAACTGCGCTGCAAAAAGATCCAGCGAATCGGACACCTGCAAAAGCAGCTCATCGTTCAGAGGAGTGCCCTCTTCGATCTTCAGTCCCATCTGTGAATATAATGACACATTGGTTCATCATTATATCATATCATTTAATTATTCATATCTTAACTCTAGGCAAAATAAGTCTAAGCTAACGAACAAACCTCGTCAAGTTTGCCACAATCTTGCAGTTCCTGCAATTCTTTAGCTACGTACTCAGAGAAATCTCGTTTCTTAGAGTCGAGCTGCGTCTGAAACGCTGAAATTTGTCTACACACAATGTCGATCTAAAACGAAAATGGAACGAACAGAAAATCATAAGGAACATAAAGCCAAAACAAGGAAAACAATAAGGAGAGTGTAAGAGAGCAGGCAAAAACAAGCACAACGATCAATTCATTCAATTCAAAATGAGTTCGAATGATCACATGCAATAGAATTAAATGGGTTCTGATCCGAAGCACGCACCTGAACCTTCTCATTGTTCTTCTCCCAGAGCAACATGTCCTTGCGGGCGATCAGCTCCTGCTCGCGGCAATTCAATAGCTGCAAGCCATCCATTTCTTCCTGCTCCAGGCGAATCAGCTCCTCGGTCAGCTTCCGCACCTTGGTCTTGTATTGGTCGTGCATCTGGACGCGCTCCTAGCGAAAGAAATAAGTGAATAGGTTAGTAAATTTCTTTATATTGTTTTGAGATTTAATGTACTCACCACATTGAGTTGCTTAAGCGCATTTTCGATGGTGTCCAGTATCTTGCGATTTTCATCCTGCAATTCGGGATCGTCCCGCGACATGGGACGCTGTGGATAGTACTGGCGCTCTGGCCGCTTAAACGGTGACACTCCATCCTCATCCGAGTAAATGCTGCACGCGAGCAGATTCTCCTTGGACGAAGTGATCAGCGACAGACGCGACATGTCCAGCTGAGAGCGACTCAGATCTTTGCGCAGTTTCGCCGCCTCGGCAGGATTATTAAATCGAAATATATTGGTGCGGCCCAGCAATATAATATCGCCCTGCGAAATCTGCTTGGGTTCGTCAATTAGATGGGCATTCACCCAGCACTGGGCCAATGGCCAGGGATGTAGTGTAACCACGCCGCCTTTCAGGACAATACTGCAGTGCTGCGCCCGTATGCCGTCGCCGGCCAATTCAATATCCTGCGCCATATCCGCATCCTCGCTGCCGATGCGCGTCTCGCCCTCCTTAAGGCTGTAAAGCGTCACTCCGGTGGTCACGTCGTTGTGAATGCCAATGAGATGCGGCATCTCTGAGTCAAGGACCACGCCCACGCCCGACTTTCGCAGGCCCAGACTCTTTTGTTCCTGCAGAATGGACTGGGCCACCTTCCACTTCTCCGTCCACTCCTCGGTAAGCACTTTCTCCTGGGCCTCCTTCTTCTGGAGATCGGCTAGGACCTTGAGCGATGGCTGCAGTGAGTGCTAAAGAATATTATAGAAATTAATTATGGAGTTTGCACTTTTTAAGTCTTATCTACTTACAATATCTCCCGACAGCATGGACTTGAGCTTGTTGATCTCCTCCCTGAGCTCGCGGATCAGCTTGACATTAGAATCCTCGTTCACCGTCGGCTTGTTGATGATGTTCTTGGCTCGATTCGCGTACCGCAAGGTGCTCAATGTTTCGCTGTAATTGCAGTCAGCCGGTGAGAGGGCAGCAATCATAATGGTCTTGCTGTTGCCGCCCAGACTGTCCTTCAGCAGCCAGGTGAGGATGGAATCACGGTACGGAATGTAGAGCACTCGCTTGCTGGCCCCATTCGGGGTGGTGGCCTGCGTGGAGTTGCTCAGACTGGCGCCCGTTTGCTCCGCCAGGGCGGAGATGACACTGCCCAGAGTCACCAGTGATTTGTTGATGTGGGCGCCCTCTTTCAGCCGCTGACCCGTTGCCCCCGTTGCATTGGCACGCTCACTGAAAAATGCAAAGAGAAGTTAGCATTTTTTAGTGGCAAAACAACATAATAAATCTCCCTCTCCATGCCTGGTTTTACTTTCTAGAGCAGAGCTTCATGCTCCGCTTACGTTTACGCTTACGCACCTGCCTGCCAAATCGACCAGATGGATCTTCGAGACTGTTTCGCTTGGCATGTCATTCATGAAGACGGCCTGCACAAATGTGATCGTGAAGATGGCGTGACTGCGGCTGCTCGTATCGTTCATGTTGGTGCTGGCCGTGGTGCGTTGCGCATTTCCCCGGGCAATGCATTCCTATAAATGAAAAATCCAACGATAAGTCGGAGTTCTGGAGTGTTTTTAAAGCCACTTACCTGAATTTCGTCAAAGTCGGAGACGGCATGCTGGGACAGGTTCTCCACATAGGGGCCCAGACTGCGATGTTCTCGCACCCGCAGTCCATGGCCAGTGCTTTGAGCTGCCAGAAGATCCTTGACCCGCTCATTGTAGATCTCCAAGTAGCTGGCGTGGGTACGATATCCCGTGCCCGATTCCTGGCCCACACGCATTCGTGCAAATAGCTCCTCGCAGATGCGCGGAATCAAGCCAGGATTATTGGGTGTGCCCATCATGGTGAAGGTCTTGCCGGACCCCGTCTGTCCATAGGCAAAAACACAAGCATTGTAGCCTTAAAAAGAAAGAACATATTATGGTATTACACAAATTTGTTGATACATTTAAAGTTCCTATTAAAATATACCATGAAAGCTTAAAGATATCATTATAAACTTTTGTAAATTAGTTAAAAAATGTATATTTTTCCTTCGCAATAGGGAACAGAACAAAAGTGAAGCCAAGGTTGGACAGCTGCCACTCAAGCGCATCATATCTATAGAGTTAATTGCCAGTCACGGAGTGTCTGCTGCAATTGCTGAACCGCCCAAAGTGAGGCAAGCATTTCGTGACTCTAAAAACTAGAATGCACCGTCACCCGGAGATTGTAAATCTATATATGTATAAATAGTCATACAATCGCTAGATTTCGACTAGCAATACTTAACACTAACTTGGGCATAGTGAGTCACCAGAGATAGGGTAATATGCTACTACAAATAAGGCAAATTTTATGGTTTGAACAATCCATAAATTAGGTATTTAATTTGAATTATTATTCCATATGTATATGGAAATCTTAATCTTTCAACAAGTATCTAATAAGCATTTTGTATACATAGTATTTCTTTATCACACCCTTTATAGCTGTTATAAAACTGTTGAAACTTTCCAAGATTTAATTTCTTATCGCAAACAATTATTAGGACTAACAGAAAGCGATAAGAAAGCTAGCAAAAAACTAATTTATTTACTAATTCTGTTGACTCCCACATGACCTATGCTAGACTTTGACCAGCGCCAACAAATTGCGACATCAATGGCTGGCGCCTGGTTCACAAAGCAATTAAAGCCATCCGATCCGGCGATGTCAGCTCAAATGCCACCCGGCAGAGATTGGAAGATGGTCCCCAGTGTCACGCCCACTGGGCGGCTTAAACACTACAACACATCGTTGGACAATCTCCCCGCTAGACAGGTGGCAGATAAGATTTGTTTTCAAGCAAACTCGCCATCAACCGAGACCGCACAGGTGGGGGCAGGCCACAACAATGACAATTGTAAATGCTCAAGCTCAGGTTGATGTGAACAACGTTTAGTCTAAGACAGAGAACAAACTTATTATAATGTGATTAGATATTCAATTACGTATTGATGTATTACGTATTAGGTATTATCTATTATTGTTTAAGGTGAAATATAAGTCAATACCAACAATATAAATGGAAAATTATGAGTTATGAAAGGGAATTTCTTCCTTCTTTAAGAGGGAATTGCTGTTTCATTTATACAACTTTACATAATTATTTAGAAAATCTATATTCTATAAGTTCAATGATCTTGGACATTTCCAGCTGGCTTAAACCCAATTGTCTTAGCCAGCCATTTGGTCGCCACTCAAGCTTTGTTTACGGCTCGTTTTCCACTATCTGGCTTTATCTGCATTGCTTGTACATACTATATAACATACGAAGTCGTTTGTCATTCGCAATTGCATTCGTACTCGCATTCCCGTCTTGGCTTTTCGTAATTTGATATTGAAAGCGTGCCAAAACCACGACAAGCTGAAACAGCTGTTCCATTTCGCTTGGCGTCTCGAGTTGTGGGCGAAAGTTTGTTGTTTGGCTTACTTTCTGAATGGCTTTTGCAATCAAATACAACTTTAAACCTAGACGAGGTATTTAATACCCTAGCTGAGTTAAATAATAATAATAAACGCTTGGTAAAAGCAGTTTAAAGTTTCAATTTTGTTTAAAACATAACCTTTCCCTTTCGGTTCACCAATCCACACAGGTTTGATGACTGCAGGAAGTTCGCATAATTATTGCTAACTGCACCTACTTGCATACAAACTTAAATACTTTACTATAATTAGTCGGCAATGGAGCGTTTCAAACTGAATAATCAAGTTGTGTGGGTTTCGGTATATGGACCTGCATTTTATTTTTAGAGCCTCAATGTGTTTGTTTACAAAGCAGCAAATTTTGTTGTAATTTTTTGGGAAAACGAGAGGGAAGCAAAAAGGAAAACCCAATATCAAAGCCAATAAGCAGACGCACAGGGAAAATGTAAACAAAACCGTAAGTGCAAGAAAACAGAATGAACGAAACACGCTCTCGACATGGGGCTAATGGAAAAAGCACACGGAAAAACTAGGCAAGACTAGGATACACTATATGAACTTGTAGGACATTTAATTATCTCTATTTTATATAAATTTTGCATCTTTGGAGAGTTGTAAAACAGTGAATAAATCTTATTTATAATTTCCCCTTTTAATTTATTTAAATACTGTTTCTATATTTTTTTTCTTAGTGAACCCCTGATGTGGGTGACGGCCCCACAACCTAGACCTAGAGTTGAGCTATTAGCTGGGGCTTATGGCGGCACCATTGGGTAACCGCATCGTGTGACCCATTAGCCCTTGGCTCACCTTCATATGCGCAATCGACGACGTCATTGCCGAGATCACTGTACACCTGCTCCTGGGTGGCAAAGTGCGGATCCTCCGCGTCGAATGACCAGTATGAATAGTCAAAGGTGAAGTCATGATGATTGTCCCGCCCGGCATCGCGGATGGACTGCAGCCGTGGCTTCAGCAGACGCGTCTTCTTATTCTCCATCTCCACAATGAGCTGGGCGTCCATGTCATTTTCACTGCAAAGGAAAACAGCGCAATTTATTATTTACATTTTCATTTAATAATACTGAGAGCTAGACCCATTGTTAACATTTTATATAATAAAAAAAACGGCCCCTGCCGTTCCTACCACAACACCTCTGGGCCTCTTTTTGAGGGGTCTTCGTGTTGGAATATAAATAGCCCCGCAGAGCTGGCTCATAAATATTCCTATTAACGATTTTTGCATGACCCGAACAAATGGCAAAAAGTCAGGGGGCGTTCCAAGGGAAAGCGAGTGGAAATAGATTAAATATGTGGAAGAAGGCAGATAGACAGACAGACCATGCAATCCAATTGACATGTTTGCCCTGTGATCAAGACGACAGTGTGCTTTCCTCACTGACTACAAATTATAAAAGAAAATCCGGTTTGTGGGGAATATTAAAACCGACTAAAACTTGATTGCAACATCAAAAGGAAAAGCGGCGCAAAACAAAACAGAGGCGGGAGGAAAAACTGGCATCTGGGCCCAGAACATTCGTTCAGAGATGGAACCGAACCGGTTGACTGGAGTTCATAGGGGCACCCACACTCGGAAATGGACTGCATTCGAAAAGAGAAAAACCAACACACGATGGCGCGTGTAAATAAACAGAAGACCCCCTAATGGCACCCTATTCACAGAAATATCGGCCACAGAATTATACTAAATCCATAGGCTCTGATATATACGGGTCGTAAGTTTTAGTAGAACCGATTTACGGAGAGATGTATGAAAATATATACACAAAGAGAGAGAGCGAGAGTGAGATCACATGACTGTTATTACAATTTGTACTGAATGGCTTTGTTTAGCGTAGTAATAAACGTTTTATGAGAATTTCGGGAGATTTGAGGAAATAATTATTTCCTAAAGTAATTTCTGGGAAAGTAATTAAATTCTACGATGAATAATAGGATTTTTAATTTTTAAGTAAAATAAGAGAATTCTGTATTGTATAAACAATTTAAAACCCAATTTATAGTTCATTTTGCTCTGAAACCTTAATCTTTCAAATCACCTTTTCATAATTATATAAATATTATTATTAAGCATTTCAGTCTAAGGTCAGAATTAATCCAGTAATTAAGGCTACTTAGATTAAGTTTAAATTGACCTTTGAAAATGTAAAGGCCATTTAAAATATGAACTCAAAAACAATGCTAAAGATTTAATAAGAATAATACTACTAATTAAACTGCAATTACAATTCAAACTTTAATATTTCTGTAATTTAAAATGCATACAAAAATGTCTGGTAATTTAAAGAAAATTTAAAACTTTAAATATCTTAGTTCAATTAAAACAAAGTATACATATATTCGTCTTCTGCCTAGGGAAAGGGTATTTATGAATTGCCTTTGCAGTTCCATTTCTTTTACGACTGCAGCCAACAAGCAGTGCCTTGTCCCATTTAAAGCGACAATTTTAGGTCATTCCTCTCTTTCTCTATGGAGCGGCATGATTACGCCGCTCCAAATCTTTCCTTTCCAAACTCAAGTCGGCTCAGTGCTCATTGCGTTTGAGTGGCTTTAATTCGTTAATCTTTGGCCCGATGTGAGAGCGCTGGAGAGATTATGGAAAGAGAGCGGCTTCAACGAGGGCTTTGTTTGCTTTCCAGCCGAGTCTTTCCCCCTACTTATCATCCCCACCCTTTGGGAGGGAAGTTCTCTTACTGCGTTGATTCATTCGTCAATTAAACATTTATGCGGCGGGAGCCACAAATTTCGCTGGTGTGAGTCATGGGAGCAGTAGCGATGAGATATGGAACTTGTTCGCCCAGTTTTCGTGCCAAAATCAAAATTAATTTCGTTTTTTCTTTTGCTTTTTAGGTGCATACATACGTAGACGTAATTATAGTATATTTCTGCTTTTGTTTTCGCAGAGTCAGTCAGTCTTGCATGTCCACGGAGGAGCCGTGGAAATATGTGCTAAAAATGTCCGTTGGAGGCTAAAAACAAACTGGCAAAAAAAAAACAAAGCTACAGTGTGATCTCTATAGTGGATAATCTTGTATATCCCATAAAATATCTAATATTCTTGTATACAGTTAGATTTATCTTGGTTTTAAATTTGTATAAGCTCTTCCCTGCCGTTAAACTACAGAAACACATACTACATTGGTATATCCGATCTCATTATCGAGCTTTTACTGTACCTGTAAGTAGCTGCTTTGCATAAGTCTAAGCTAAAACGATGATGTCACGACTAGTCAGGGAGTTAGCTCTAGTTTTTTGTTTTTTTTTTTGCCATTATAATTACCGCATTTGCCACTGATGATGCTTTTTTGTTATTATTATTTCATGGACAATTAACACACGGAAACCTATAAATAAAGAGAGCCCCAACCCAGAGACAGCTCATGTGTAAAGGTGAGTGTGAATCTTTTATCGAACCCCCGAGATGAATGACATCATTACGCGTTCCATCTTTCTTTGTCTGTGCCTCCTTGTTCTTTCTGCCAATTTCTTCACTTCTTTCTGGCTTTTTCGCTTGCTTTTGTTTTGCCGCTTTGGCTTTATGCGCAAGTAACTGTGCCAAAAGCAATGACCGCTCCGCCAGATAGGCAAGATAAAGACACAAAATAAAAAACATGGGGCCACAAAACATAGTTAACGATCGTCATCAGGCGAGGTTTGTAGGAAAAATACATGCTCGTCGGTTTAATGTGGTTTTAAGTAGTCAGACGCACCAAGTACTTTTTTATGTTTTAATTTCTACTGGGATTTTTTCTACAGAAATTAGTTAACAGAAATTATGAAGCTTTTAGAGAGCCCTTCCCATTCTATATTCGGTCGCCACACATTTCTCAATGCCTCATTGAGGGGCGTTTTATCCATCTTATCACGAGTCGGGGCAAACATTCTCTAACACACAATGGTGTCCAAATTATTAACACACTAAATACAAGTGTACTTATTAAAGTGTGTCTCACAATAATGTTTGACTTTACTAACTTAACAAGTAGTATCTAATTTATGAACAAAATATTACCTTAGTGACTCATTTACCGATATATATTTTAAATAAAATGCTAATTAGTCTTGCCCTATTTTTAAGGTTCAACACTTTCTACAAAAAAAAACCTTTGGAAATAACCCAAACCCATATAATAAGATATAACTAACTCTGAATATGTTTGAGAAATCGCTTTATTTTTCCCTTTCTATCTGAACCAACGAAATGCAAAACCCATCTAGGACCCCATGGCTGTGCCAGTATTTCAATCCTTAATCCCATAGGCATGGCCAGCTTGGAATATCTGAGCTTACCGAGTGTTAAAGGGGCGAACCCTCACAGCGACCTTGAGCGACGACATTTCGGTGGTGGGTTCTATTGCCGTTCTCTATTGGATTCTTCTACTCCTTTTTTAGCTTCCAATTGGATTGCTTCGCTGGGGACGAGCGGGGGTGGTGGGCGTGCTTGGCACGACGTACAGTAAACCAAAAACAACGCTCCAAAACTTGCTGCAGCAGCAGGTTTTCGTTTGTTGTTGTTCTTGCCTGACCACTTGCCACGTAATTTGTGTTTTTGGGATGATTTTCGCAGGGGTCAGGAAGGAAGGAGGGAGGATGGAAAGCGGGATGGAGGAGGATTCCAAAGGGGACAGCACTTGAAAAAATTCACTCTGTTGCGTTATTCCTCGCCCGTTTACTCTGCTTTTTCAGTTTGTTTTTCTCTTCGCCTTCCTGTACACCGTTATTTCGAGCGTTTGCCACCTCCTGTCCGCGAACTGTGCGAACTTTGCCCGCCGCCACAAACCGCTGCACATACTAATACATGTACTGGCAACAATAATAATTGCTCGCAATTCAACGTCGATTCACTTGCACAATTGTGGAAACACTTTTCGGAACTCATCGCACATCACGGCGCTCATATTTGTGTGTATTTCAGTATCTGTGTGCTGCTAGCTGCTGCGATTTTCGGTGATATGCAAATATCCACTTGGCACGGCTCATTAAACGCACTCGCGTCCGTTGCAGCGCAATAAAAAATAAAGCGAGTAACGCGCGACGTACTTTTATCTATTTGTTAACGAAAACCCGAATCCGTGCGTTGTTGTTTGTTTGTCGACAGCTTATGCAGTGTGCCCGCCAGCTTTTCCAATTATAAAACTTGCGATTAGTTGAAAGTGGAGTGGATTTTTCTCTCCATGGCAGCTGGTCACACTAAAGCGCTCGAGACTCAAAGGTATGGCAACGCCAAGGGCTTGAAACCGCTAACTCTGGCAGCACCACGTTACCGAATTTCAAAACTTTCAAATATTGCGAACAAGTTTTTAAATGAAAAGCAAACAACTAATGATTATGAAGATTTACTACAATACAATTCAATTAATAACAATTTTTAGGTTCCATTTTTTTATTTGCCAGTTTTATACCATGTTTCTTTAATAAAAAAGGTTTAAATTGTAAACAGTATTCATAAAGTGACTATTTTTATACAATTGTTTTATGTGTTTTTGGATGGGTAATTCTTACATTTTATTTGTGCATTTTAAAACTTGTATTTTTTAGTTCTTTTTATCGCCTTTATAATTTAGTGGTGCCTTTAAGTATCACAATTGTAAAATTTTTATTAAAATCAGCGAAAGCTGTGACTGGTATTATTATATGTACAATATAGCAAAAAGCGTAAGTAGTATATTAAAGTTCAATCACACTCATTTCAGTAGATATCAATGGTCACAGCATACAAACTAGTTAAAGCTCTTAGTCCCCGCCAGATCTGGCCTTGGGTCATACGTAGGTGCCATTCCACCGCTGGCACCATTCCAGGGCGTACTCGTAGCCCAGGAAAGTGGCGGCATTGAAGGGAATCGCCCGCGCCACCAGCATCCAGCTGCCTCGGAAGATACTCCGCCAACCGTAGGCCCTGTAGTTGACCTTCACGCAGTGAAAGATTCCCCGGAATTTGTGGTTCTCATCCGCTTGCATCAAAGTCTTCACCACGTCGAACGGAATGACGCATACCCACGAGATGACTCCCGCCCAGGCACCGGCCAGAGTGGTCACCAGCAGATTAATACTGACTCCGTCCGTCTGGCTGCGTCGCCGCCGCACAAAATCCCTTCCGTCCAGATAGTCAACGCTCTGGCGGTAGGCCAGCATATAGATTCCATAAGGCAAAACGTCACTGCCAAGTAAAAGATCACAGTGGTCACAAAAATCTTCAATTTTAATGGGGAAACACTCACCGACACATCATGGGCAGCAGACCGCGGTATAGACCGGAGATGCCGTCAGTCTTGAGTATCCTTTTGAAAGTGCCAAAGGCTGTCCTCCGCTGCCCATACAGATAGTCATTGTAATCTGCGGATGAGTTTGAAACATTAGCTACAAGTTCTGGGAGAAAAATCTAATGGCAAACCCACAACAAGCAGTCTGCAGGCGGACCTTGATCAGCTCCATGGGACAAGCTATGAAGGATTGGACAAATCCCGCCACTGATCCAGCCATGAACATGTTGTGGTACTCCAGCTGCTCCCGCTGGTAGTCACTATGGCAAACCTTCCTCAGCTGGCGCAGATGGTTACCATAGATGCCAAAGAGCAGCGAATTGATGGCGCCCGTCGAGATGAATGGGAAGAACATGCCCCTGTAAAAGCCGTTGATCTTTAAGGCGTTGCCGACCGATTAAACCAAATATCTCCATCTAGCCGAAGCTTTCAAGGACTACATCTAGTCAGAGGATCAACAAACCCGCTGTTTAAATCTCAAAAGCTCTTTTCAAATTTTAGTTTAGCATGAAGGCTCATTAGGATATTGTATTTTTCAGATATTTTGATTTTTCAGACTCTGACCAGACGTAACCCTCTTTCCTAACTTACCCCATTGTTCCTGCTGTAGATCTGATGGACGGCAGTCATGACGGAGGAGTTGGAGGCCTGCTGCCATACCTTGATCGTGTCTAGGGGATGGGCCACCAGCACCCCGCAGGCACCTATTATCAAATCAAAATATTGTACATAAATAAGTTAATTAAAAAATTTATGTTGAATCGCCGACGATGCATGCTGCTTGCCAAAAAATTCGCTGGCGGCACCGAAATACACGCCTTGGGGATCAGGGGCGCCGCCGCTCATGAACTTGACCGTGGCGCCCATTGGCCGCTGGGGCTGTTCCTCTCAACAAGTGGTTCATCATCATCTGGCTTTGGCATTGCGTCATTCCTAGACAAGACCGAATATGGGATGCTCCCGGAACCCATCCCAAGCTGGAGCTTTCCACTCACCACCGAAGCATCCGGCCACAAAGTCGCAATAGTTCTCCCACTTCATGGAGGATCACGGAATAGTTAGTCAACGAGGGTGGAATTTTCAAAATTGATTTTTCTCGCGACTTTTCCGACTGCACCTGACAACGGCAGCGAACCAACTGCAACGCCAAAGCTTTTGTGGCGTTGTAGCAAAGCTCGCTGCGTTCTTAGCTTTTTTGCTAACAAAAGCTGAGTGCTAAAATATGCAATAACAAATTGTTGTTTTATTTCTAGAAAGATTAATTATGCTAAATTAGCATTTTTATAGGTATTATTTTATTCAGAAGCTTGCAAATCAGTGAATGAGTCTTTTCCGACCCTATTTGTCATATATATTCTTGATCAGCATCAAAAGCTGGATCAATCTAGCCATGTCTGGTCAGAATATAAATTTCCAAATTTTGTTTCGATTTTTTCAAACAAAGAAAAGGGGCTACATCGTTGAAATTGTTAATATTTTTTAAAATTATATTTGGTATGCAGATTAATTAACACGTTTCCCAATTGAAATTAAACCATTTATAGCCTAGTTATTAGATTTGTAAACCTTGATTTGTTGATAAAATTGTCATTTAATATTGTATTTAATATTGCCAATAGTTTTAGCTAAGTCTAGGTCTAGTTTTTACCTCAAGTTATTTTATTACCTATTTTTAACTGACGAATTATTATGTTTATTGTAATATTTAATTATCCTTTAGTATTAATGTTCCAGATTTAGCCATAGATATTTTTCACCAATGTTTCTATTCCTAAAGATGTAAAAGTTAATAGTTTATAAATAAATATTATTCCTAAAAATATAAAAGAGATAGATAGATAAATAGTTTAAAAAAAATAGTGCTTAAAATACGTACCTTGTTTGGTGTTTTTGATACAAAAATGAAACCAGTTTTATGTTTTATTTTTTATTTATTAATTTTTTATTGTTGATTGATCTCTTTGCTTCTTTTCTCTCCGTTTGCTCATACTCATTCATTCAGTTTTTGTGTGTGTGTTTTCTTTTTTTTTCAATGTTTTACTTGGTTTTTTATTCATTTTTGGTTAATTCTGCTTGCAGCTAAATATTTGTTTTCATTCTGCGCCTTTGCAATTTCAAATCATTTTCTGCTGCCATGCTTTTAGTTTCTGGTTTTTGTTTTAATTTTTATTTTTTCTTTTTTCGCATACTTGCTGTCGAAGCAATCAACTAAACCTTTGTTTTCTTCTGATGCTCATGTATATATACTTTTTATATATATGTATGTATATACCTATATATATATTTATTCCCATTTATGTTTTGTGTAATTATAATTTACTCTTTATATTTACTCTCAGCATAAGATTTTGTTTAGTCGTGTGTGAGTGAGTGAGTGTGTGGTTGTGGATGTGTGTGAGTGTAGTGTGTCTGAGTGAGTGTGTTGTGGGCGGGCGAGTGTAGTGCAGTGTGTGCCATCAACCCAAAGAAAACCATTGAAATCCTCGCACACACCGTCGTCCTAAAGAACAAGAACTCAAGAAGTCATACGTAATAATAGCGTGTTTCATATATACGATAGGTTGTTTTTTTTACAAGTCTAGAACATAAGAAAATACATAATTCACATATATATTTATCCTCTTCCCTCTGATCCTTTTTGCTTCTCCCTCTCCTTTCATTTTTAGTATCCATAGTATTTATATTGTTTAAGCGCTTTAACTATTTTTGCTCTTATTGTTTGTTTTTCCATTTAATTTTATATATTTTTTTCCATTTGTTTCTTAACTTTTTTTTTTGTTTTTGTTTTTGCAACGTTGTTAATGCGACTTTATTTTTTAGTACAAGGTTTCGTCTCTAAAAGTACTTAACGAGTTTGCTTTTGCTTATACTTCTTCATCTCCGCTCAGCCGGCTCTAAGCAGCAGCTACATTTAACATGCTCGATTTGTTTATACATATAAATACAATAATAGAAACTATAGTTAAAGTTACCATACATATGTGTAAGTTGAAAGCGGACTAAACAGGTTAACTCAGAGTGCAACAGAAATTTATTAAAAAGAAAAAAAAGGAAAGGATAATAAAACAACGAAGAGAGATACTTTAATCGTTAAACCACTTGTCTTACATATTTATTTATTCATTTGTTTATTAGGCATTCCTCCCTTTGTCAACATTCCTATTTAGTTTGCTTGCTTGATTTCTGGCTTTGTTTTTACATTTGCATTTATTTTTTGTATTACTTTGATTGGCATCCTATGCGAACATCAACGTTAACTAGAGATGGGTGCGCTATTCGAGGACTATGGATCGATCTGCTGCTAGTTGGGTGAGTCAAGAGATGGGTATTGTAACAAAGGGGGTAGGTATTTGGGTTCTATAGTCCTGTTTCCTGGTGTTCTTCTGGAGGAGCTTAATGCTCTGATCGCTTTACTTCTATTTAATGGAGGTGATCATCGTGGGCTCTAGTTGCAGTTGCTTGGGCTTTTGTTTAGCTATTTTTCTCGTTTAATTACACGCTAATATAAAGATGCAAAACTTTCTTACACACGTTGCTTAGTATTTAGTCATAGGTTTGTTAAATTTTTTATGTTTTTGTTTGTTTTTTTCGCAATATATCTCTCGTTTAGCCGATGATGACTCTCTAGTGGATGCTCTTTAAACGGTTCTCTCTCTTTACGCATATTGTTGTTGACATTGTTTTACAAACATATTTAATAATAACGCTAACTTTTACGCTTGTTTCCATTAGATTTTCTTCTTTTTGTAGTTTTTTTTTCGCTTTTTTCTCTTCATTTTGCTTGCAATATATGTGTATAATAACTCACGATTCACAGACACAATTATCATTAATATTATATGAACTTTTACGGTATCGCCTAATGAGAGACATTCATTAGTGGATAGTCGACCTTCTTGTCCTCTCATACCTATATCTCTGCTCCTAGTTGGCTCCTATAATGCATGCTTCTATACTTTGTAATGGGCGTTGTCGTGAGAGTTGAATGAACAAACATGCATAGTATACTTCATATATAAATTTTATATATATCTCCTTACTATGAGTGCATCTAAGTAAGTGTGTAGTGTGTGTTGTGTGAGTGTGAATGAGTGAGGAAGCGGTCCAAAAAGTTGATTCCCCCTCTTTCATCTTAGCTACATATTATTTACAATGACAAAATAATCGAATAATGACAATTGTGCGCATTTCCATGAAGATTACAAAAGTATAGGCATAGAAAATAAATTAATTTAATTAAATATCGAGAATAATTAGAAGGGAATTTGCAAACTATTTAGGACTCAAACACTTCGGACCGCTTCCCCTGAGATATTCTTCAATGCAAAGGATATTTTTAGATAGTCTCTGGAAATGTTTCGCTAGCTGAATTTTTCGAAAACCATATTCTATATTCTATATTCTCGGTTGGTTGGTTTCTCTAGCCTGGCCTTTTTACAATGCTCTCAATATATATATATTTTTCTTTTGTTGTATGCTTAGTACATCTCGATTACTGCGCATGCGCCTATTCCCCAGCTGTGGGGGCATATTGTTGATATACATACATTTAGATAGATCAGCGTTACATTATGGTATGGTATTTAGTTGTATTCTTATTCGTGTATAAATCTGCCGGCTGCCTGTGTGTCTACCTTAGCCCGTTTAGCAGCAACTTCAAACAACGTACTAAAACTTGGCTTTCGTTACTAACCGATTCGGAGTCGTGCAGCTGCCCGGGAATTGTTGGAATTTATGTTTCGAGAAGTCTTGACGGAGTGTGCAACACTTAAAGCTAAGTAACAAAGTTTAATTCCGGATAGTTTTTTTTTTGGGGGGGGAGCACAGTTCTTGATATATTTTATATACAATTCAGTGGGGAAATCGGGGACTAAGACACGCCGTTTTATGGAGCAAACAAAAATTCCGAGGATGCAACTATTTTACACATTTCGAATGAGAACGCAAGTATGTTTTGCAAGTGAGTGGGTGGTATGCGTGTGTGTGTGTGTTTTGGATGGCTGATCTATGCTAGGATCTAGTTAGCAATATGTTTAGTTAATAATATTCAATGCGCTTCAACAATCCTCGATCCTCAGTTATAGTTTTCATCGTTCGCTTGCTCTTTTCTTCACTTACTAACATGATTTCTCTTTATTCAACTTGTGTTCGCTTAAACGTAATTAATAATTATTCTTTTCTTCTTTTTTGTTTTAATATATATTTATACGTGTCTGCATGTGTGTGTGTGTGAGTGTATGCGTGTGTGTGTGTGGGTGCGCGTAAATTTCTGCTTATATTGGTTGTATCTTGTACATTTATAAAGATTTCTTTAATGCCGCACTCAAGCTTCCTACACGCACACAAACACACACCCGCGCCCACGGACAGGGATCTGATTCAGCTCCCGCTCCAGATTTCGGTTCTACCTCCTTTGACAGCCGCCCAAGCCTCCCGTCCCGTCCGATGGTGGGTCAGCTTGGCTGGTGTCTTGTCAATCGAGTATACATTTTAGTTTTATATGTTCTGGTTTAAAGTTTAGCATATGTGTGTGTGTGTGTGTGTTTGTTTTAGTATAACTATATTTCTTTCTCCTTTAGATGCTTGCTTCTGCTGTTGTTGTTGTCTCTGCCATTTACGGTTATCGGATAGCGCGTTAGCTTTACGCTCCTACTGATGTTGGTTTTGTTTTTATTATTAGTTTCCAGCGCGCCTCGCGTTGCCTGCTTGCTTAGTTCTCCGCCTTGACCTCCTGTTTGATTTTCGCATTTGTGGTCGCAGGATTATTGTCGCCGCCGGCTCCGCCGCTGGACAGGCTGCCGCTGCTGCTGCTATTCGACTGCTGCTGATGAGAGTTCAGACCGGCGGAGCTAGGTGGCTGCAGGGACGTTGACGCCGCAGGGACTGCGCTGTTCGATGTCGCAGCGCTGCCGCCAGCGGAGCGCCCAGTAGAACGATTGGATTCGAGTTCGTGCAGCTTCTTCCACAGCTCTTCGCGGTCGCGCTCACGCTTTTTCTCTCTGAAAAGGCAAGAATTTGGTTAGTTCGTTTTAAACTTTGGCAGCCTCACTCACTTTTGCCGCTCCGCCTTATAGCTGGAAGTCAGCTCGTCAAACAGCTTCGAATTCATCTCCATAAACGTCTTCAATACGTTGTAGACGAGTGCCACAATGGTTTGATTCCAGTGCTCCTTGCTGATGCGGTACAGGGCCGGGAACATAATGGGCATGATGACCGCGTTGTTCTCCTCGATGAGCGACATGGCATACTCATTGTTCCACAGATAGAGTGCGCGCTCAGCAACCTAAAGGGAAGAAATCCGATAAGATTTGGATTATAACAACAAAATAGAAAAGGCTATTGTTTGTGGGACTCACTTGAAAATGTGGACTTGACACGCATTTGGCAATCTGGCGGAACAACGGCTCCTGGATCTTGGCAAACTGCGGCGGATCGATCACGTCGAGTATCTCCTCAATTTCACCCAGGAACATGACCTCCTTTTGGGAACACGTCTTGGGCCAGAACTTGAGAAGCCCACGCACCACAGGCTCGGTAAGGAATGGATCCTTCTCTAGGAATTGTACAATGCAATACGCCAGCTGAGCGTGATAGAGCGACAGGCATTTGACTTTGTGTAGCGGCAACAGGACCTTGACCAAAAACTGCTTGTGTTCGGCCTTCAGGGGCAAAGCGAATCCGTTGATGATACTGATAGGAGGAAATAACTAATTATAACGGACAAAATAATAAACCCAATTGTGACATACCTGCCGAGAATTTCCAAAAGCTCACCGACTCCATTAAAGTGCTCCGTCTCGTAAATGAATCGCAAGAATATGTTGTTGATCTGTTTTCGAATAAAGGCTCGCAGTCCCAGGAACTTTCCGTAGATGCGATGCAACACCGTCTTCAGAAAGTCCCGCTCTCGCGGATCCTCCGAATCGAAGAGCTCCAAAAGCTAAAGAACAGAAATCCGTTTCAATAAACCTGTTTTTTTTTTTTTGGCACAAAAGTAGACACTCACCTGCAAGACAAACTTTTGATCAATCACCCGTTTGCCGATGGTTGCCTGGAAGTCCTGCGACTCCAGGAAACGCAAGAAGACCTCGTAGACCAGCTGGAGGTGTGGCCAAGACGCCTCCAAAGTTGGATCATCTTCCTCGGGATCGAAATCGGGATTCTCACTGGGCGGCAACGTGCGAAATAGGTTGCATGATATCTGGTAGAGGAAAGACAAGGTGTTTTTTAGTGAGATGAGTTGTAAATTCATTATTGCAATATTTGCGAGTAAACTGACAATAATATGAATGTATTGCGAGGGATAGAGGCGATATTTACCATGCGAATTATTTCCGGATAGACCGGTTCCGTAAGCACACCGCGCCCATGTGTTATATAGGTGGATAGGTCATTGAGTGCGGCCCGCTTGATCTCCTTGCCCTTTAAATCCGTGACGGGATCCATAAAGTCAAAGGAAACGCAACACTGGCGCAGCTTCCGTATGAACAGCTCCTCCTGTTCTAGGCTGGAGCAATCAGCTATTGGAGCAAAATAGATAGAAATTGTTAGAATTTACTGAGCACTAAATTAACAGATTTTCAAATATACCTTTTAACGGCGGCAATTGCTGCAGCTCAACATCCTGAGAATTTCTGTAGCGCGAGGAACCTTGACTCTTTTTACCCTTCTTCTTGAGCGAACGTTTGGCAAACGGGTCGATTCGATCCACAAACGTGCCCGATGACATCTTTTCAGATTTGGGTTCGTTTGAATCGATGGCGGTCTCCGTGGCTGTCTGTGTGGTATTCAGCTTGCCGGCTTTGTTCCTAACGCTTGCCACTGAAAATTGATCGGCTGCACCGGCACCGGCAGCAGCAGCTGCTCCTCCACCCTCACCTGCGCCTTGGCCTCTGCCCTCGCCAACGCCCTCGTCGCCGTCTTCGCCGAAATCGCTGTTGAGGATCTCGACTGGCCGTTTGTTGCGTGATTTGCGTAGCCAACCGAAAATTTTATGTGTTATGTTGGCGACTTTTGCGGTTGAGTTTGGCGTCTTGCAGTTGTTTTCGTCACTCCTGGTTAATCCCAACAGCTCTGCTCCTGTTTCTGCGTCTGATTCCGGGTGTAATTCCTGGCCAATCACCAACTGCAACTGCTGCTGCTGCTGCAACTGCAACTTTTGCTTGTGCTTTTTCTTGCCTTTGGGAGCGTTCTCCTTCTGCTGTTGCTGGAGTAGCTGGAGCAGCTTCTGTTGCTGTGTAATGGTGATGGCGGTGTCAAAGCGGTAACGACTTATCTTGGCATCTATCAAACGGGGTCCCTTGGGCGTGAAGTTGTTTAGCTGCCTGGATTTGGTTTAAATTCGTTACAGTTGTATGTACACTGGAATAGTAAAGTGGGACAAGCAATTAGCTAGGTGACTTCATCAGACCCATCCACACTCATCCACACCCAAAACTCACCTGCTTCTGCCTCTGCTGCTGTGTTGTTGCTGTTCAGCTATCCGCTTTCGTCGCTTCTTGTGTTGGTTTTAGTTTTATTTTGTTTTTGTATTGTTTACTGGAGGGATTGTTGCATTTGCGATGCGCCTTACTCTTGATAATACTCTCGCTTAGCTTCTGCGTTGCTCTGATTCTGATTCTGATTCAGATTCTGATCCTCTGTCTCCGCTTCTGCTGGCGCTGCTGCTGCTCCTGCTTCAGCTGCTCCTGAATGGCACATCAATTTGGTTCACCGAGAGAAAGAGAGAGAGGAGTGCTGCTGGCTGGCTAACTTTAGATTGCTGCATTCACATAGTCCTCGTCTCGTCGACCTTCGCTGTTGCTGGTTGTTTTCTTATTGTTTTTTATGGATATTTGGCATCACATGCACTGCAAGCAAACAGGGAAGGTTAGATAGATAGGTTTTATAGGCGAAAATAATTCAAAAATTGACAGCGAAGTGAAAGGAACGAGGGAAAAGAGCCCCCGAATACGATAAAATGAAACATTCAGGTGTATCTATCTAATCGTGGGCTTTGCAGGTGAGTCCCTGTACTTGTGTGCGTGGAGATAATGGCTCTGACTGTGATTTCTTTGTCACCAGATAACAGAGAGCTGATAAAAAAAAAAGAGGCACTTTGGTGGCAACAATGGAAACCAAATCATTTACATGTTAAATCAAATTTAAAGTGGTTTTCAAAGATCTAATAGATAAATTTCTTGCAGAATTTACCCAATTATAAACCCATTCTCGTTAGACCAACTTTCCCTTGACCAAAGCCTAATGTTCATAGCCGCAGAAGAGCCCGCAATGTGGCCATTACAAGGAGGTTTTTCTGTTAAATTAAATTTCCCATTTGCTTGAATAAAATCAAGGCGAGCCATTGACCGGAAACTAGATGGCGCTGTCATCTTGAACGGAAATGAAGCCAAATAAAGGACACCAGTGAGCGAGGGAGAAACTCATTCATTTGCATGGCTTGTGTTTTGCTAGGAAGAAGAGAAATCAACCAAACCTGGGCCTGGCTTGAACTTCAATTCAATTCAAATCAGGAAAAATGCCACACACACACACACATGCACACACACATGAGTGGCAACAACAAGCACACACTGTTTTCACTTCGAGGACATTGTGGAGGAACTCGTTCACTGTTTCCAGTTAGACACTGGCACACAAATTTGCACAAATGCAAGTCAAACCGATGCGGCGGCCCACAGTCGATTCCAAAGCAAAACATGTTTAACATGTCACACACATTTCGCCGGCGGAACACCCACATGCATCCAGAGAGCAGAAACAAAAAAAGAGCCAGAAACGGACGGGGACCACACGGCGTATGAGTGACAAACAGGTAAATGCGATCAACTCGCTTGGCCCAGCTGCCTGCCTTTCCGCCTGCCTGTGGAAATGGAAATCGAGACGCGTGGGTGTCTATGCACTTGGAGAAAAATCAAGTCTAATTAGTTTTTAAATACAATATTTCGTAAAAATTTACAATAAAAGCCCGAAGAAATGTTGAACTGTTGGATCTACAACATTCTTTATATATTTTCCCTTGTTATTTAAATACTTGGTAGACTTTTCTCTCAGTGGCTGGGCAAACCAGAATACGCATGTGTGTGTGTGTGTGTGTTGGCCAGCCGGAACTCATCGAATCGCTTGGAGAGCGACAGAGAGCGGGCGGTGTGTGTGTGTGTGTCTGCGAGTGGAGAGTGAAAAGTTTGCACAGCTGCCTCTGACGGCCTTTTATTTTCTGCATTCGTGGTCAGCGCTCTTCAACGCGTTGTCCAGTTAATAATTGAATTTTCCCTTACTTGTTTTCTCTCATTTTTTTGCTTGGCTTTTGGTTTAATTTGCTTCAATCACCTTCACTGTGGGCGGGTACACCATCGAGTAAACAACGTCAAGTCAACCCCACGGTGACATTTAATATGGGAACGATAGCGAATCTAGAGGCCTGCGCCTGGGCTGGCCATTTATTATGCTATTTTATATAAAACCATCAACGGGGGCTCTATACGAACCCAGCCCGGTCCGGCCCAGCCCAAACGTCCCAAGACAAATGACCGAAAACAACAACAATGCCTGCTGACCATTAGGTAGAGGGGTTCCCCCCTTTGATGTGTGTGTGTATGTTTGTGCGTGTGACCTTATGACATTATTTACTCGACAGGGCGAAATTCCCCAGCATATCATCGTGGAAAACAATAACAAATAGCCAAAGCAGCCGCTCACAAAAATAATGAGACAAGTCCGCCCGCCTGCTCCTCCTGATACTCCAATACGATTTTCCCCCCGGATTCTACAGACTGTCACACTTTGTTTTACTTTGCTTTGTATTTGGTTTTTGTTTTTCTGCTGGCATTTATAAGATTTTTGCCGCCCAATAGCTAAAACACAGTCATCGTTTTGGTCATCTAATGACTAAGCGTCGTCGCCCTCACCAGTTGCAAAATTATTTTTCCCACCCACTTGGGTTCCACCTCTTCTAGCCGCCAGCTCTTGGCATTGCCTTCTCCACCAATAGTATATTTTTTGACGCATGTCTATTGGTTTTCCAGCCATAATCAATAAGCTACGAATAAAATGTTTGAGGGCAACAGAGAAAGAGAGCAGAGCAGCATTGGAGCTCGTTTTGTTAGCCAAAAAACTGGCATTAAACTTTCGCCCAATGCCAAGTTTCCTCAAAGTTTTCATTTCTTTTTGCATTGCAAGTTTACATATTGTTTGTTGCTTAAAAGTGTTGTAATTTCCCCCCACTTAAAGTACTTAATGTGAGTCACAACAAATAATAATCGTTTACTCGAAAAGTATGCCTATCTGTGCGCACTATCAACAGATTCATTATCAGAGATTAGTTTGTTATTATTTTGAAACCTAATTGGTAAGATTATATAGGAATTGTGCTATTAACTTTAATTTGCTTCCGCATTTTCTCCATTATTAAGGTACTAACATGGCAGATTATAAACGCATATCGAAGTATTTACCCACAATTTACTTTGATTTATTTAGGGCTTTTTGGGAAGATTCATTACTTTGAAAACCCCACAATTTGTTTTGTTTTCAAACATTCAGAATGCTTTAAAGTTTTAGCTTTCGTAAATGATTGTTTATAATTAGAAATGCAATAAAATTGAAAATTAGTGGTACAGTTTGTTATGGGGGAAATACAAACCATTTTTATGACTTTTGCATTTATACATTCTATTTTGTACTTCCCCATTGAGTAGCTGATTAAGGCTTGATTTTCTTTTTATTTTTCCCTAAATATATAGTTTTGTTTGTTTGAATGATTTCTTTTAGTTTTAAGGTGTTTATGGCCGCTAGTTTGGTGTTTATGTAATGCAAAGCGACACGATGATAAGCAGAATTTCCCCCCCTCTTCACATGCCTCTCCTTTAGTGTGAAAATATTGCGCACTGTTTTTCGTTTTTCTTTTTTGACGCGTACTTGAAACGTGTCCAAGGAATCAGGCAGGGGCTGCACAGGAGGGCTTCAAGCTGGAAAAATTGTGGAAAAACTACGCAGTAAACGGCGCCCTCCCCTCATACACACACAGACGCACACACCTACTCATGTACACACACTTGAAATCCTTTTGTGCAGCACAGCAGAGACGAGTTCATGGTCGGTGAGAATCTTCCATCATCACCACCGCCTCGTCTCCAGCAAGGCATGACAGTGAAAATGCGAGAGAGATGGAAAAGCGGCGAATGCATCAAATTACTGGCATGCATTCGGCGGCTCCACAGAGTTTAGTGGCAAAATTATAAACTGCGTTATGTTGCGTGTACACGTACAAGTACAAGTACTTGGGAAATCACCAACGCTGCCAGCATGAAATTGATTTCTGTCGGTAATCATCGAGGAAAGTCAGAGTCTGTGGGCGGTTCCAACAATGCACGGGATGAAACAGAAGAACTCTTATAAGAGAGAGTTTATAAATGGAAAATCGAATATTTCCCATAACATAAAAGCAATAAACACAAATTGGTGCTTCCTCGGAATTCCCATTGCGCACTTTCTGTAAAAACATCCAAGGGTGGAGGCAAAAACCTTGACCTTATCACAGGGAATGTACACACAACTGTCCTGTGCTGTCCTCCGATATTGATATCATGGAATCAATCAAATCAACGCGAAACGAGTTTACATGTGCAACAGCTTTTCCGACGCAACACAGAGCTGGGCTGGGAAATCCAGGGGACAGAACTTGGCACATGTGCCAAGTGCAAAATGCAAATATCTGCATGGAAATCCTCCTCTGGCACCCACTACTCGTCATCGTCCTTCTACCCATCCGTGCATATGCAAGAATAATGCACTGTTTAATTTACATAAAGTGAAAGGAAATGGAACAATAAGTTTTATAAGATTTCATGCCCCGGCCCCATCAGCAACAGCAGCTGCGGAGCGAACAACAACAGCATCAGCAGCAGCATCAGCAGCAGCATCAGCTGCAGAAGAAGCGAAAGTTTGCACAATGTAAGCACTTGGGTCGCCCAGCGTGCGCCCTCAAGGCAGCCACGACCATCATCACCAGTCCCACACACTGCGAGAAAAGGATTATCATTAATGGGAGGATACATTTGTCAGTTTTTTATCTAATTTAAAAGAATTTCTTACTAAGCTAAGCAAAGGCATTGAGATATTAAGTCAAAGAAGTGAATGCAAATTCACAATTTTTCACATCTTTATTTTATAAGAATAGAAAGAGGTTTCCAACCAACATACTCAAATTTTTAAAGTTTTATTTACAGAAAAACAAAACAAAAAAACATAAATATTGACACTTCATGTAGGGGTTTTCCCCGCAGTGCTAAAAACCACCAAAAAGGAAGAGAACACATTGTAAATGTCACGAGTGGGTGGTCAGCATCGCGGGTTTGGGAATGTACTACTTCGCCTCGGATGCTGCTGGTGCTCCTCGGTCTTCCGGGGAAGAAAGAAAGAACCTGCCACTCGACATTTCTCTGGGTTGCATTTTTTATTTGTTTTGGTTTACTCTGCGCAGGATATACATACACACACACACACACACACACACGGGTTTTCCCTGTTTTTTGACCAGAGCTAACAAAATTAGAGGAAAATTTCCAAGGGAATTGGGTCACTTTGGGAAAATAGTAACTGCGTAAATCTGGGCAACTTGTGTTAGCGAGCATGTAAAGCGTTATTAAACATTCAAGGCACTTAACAAGCGAATGATGAATGATCCAGGGGGGTGGGGGAGGTAGGGAGAGAGTAATAAATTAAATTAGAAAACTGCCCCCCGAAGGCACAAGACAAAGTTAGAGAAACTCGATTGGAAAAGTTGCAGCTGACTGGCTGCTGAGTGGCAAACAATGGCAAGCCAAACTATCGATTGATGTTTGCCAGTCCA